AATATCCTGGTACATTTATCGTTCTTGCCTTATCCAAATTTTAGCATTTACTGATTATTTTAAATAATGAAAACAAAACACGTAGATCAGCGAAGAGTCTCTTTTCGGCGGCGGATTCATTTTCTTAGCTGTACAATCGCAAATATATATGTGGGTTATTTTGTATGTATGTGTACATTAAGTCTGTCAAACAAAATTACAATTGGTTATGGTTACTTTTAACTAAACAGGTGAAGGTTGGTAATACAAGTCAAGAAAATTAGGTGTTAATGAAACCAGGGTAGTAACAAAGGTGATGAGTTGTCGCAGTCAGTCTTCAAAAAGGAGTTACGTAATAATATGAATAATTTGATGAGTGAGTTTTACTCAGGATACACATAGGAACAAACCAGATAATACGAAATTACGTAAGAGTTCTGAATGAATACAAGAATTCTAAGCAATTAAAGAACAGGCAAAGAAACAAAATTAGGCCATCAAAATCAAATCAAAATGTTGTCTCATCTGCAGGAGCCTCAAGGACAAGATCCCGCATCTAACTATTTCCATGTGCATATATCAGTTCGCTTGCTGCTGCGGAGCCAGGTCTGTCTGTCTATCTGTTTTCGACATAGAACTTTGCACAAATGTACGGAAGTTCAAGTCGCCACATTCCGTGTGGCACGCGAAGCAAGAGAAGAAAGTACAAGAGAAGCATAATAGAAACAGTGAGCAGAGGTGTGAGACAAAGGAGTAATAAAGAAAAACAAAACAGTTTCATCGGAGATCATAAGTCACAAGGAGTGGATGCATCTGAGCTAGCCACTGAGAACGATTTTGAGCCGTGTCACCAATTGTTTCCAACCATAGATTGTTACCGTCCCGAGGACCCCAGCCTGGAAGTCTACACCTTCCTACGTGGCTAAGACCAACTGTTGTGGGTTTCATTGACTGATGCCAAGTTTTTGTTTGACCGCCGCTAGCTTTTTTCCAGCCTGACCCTATATCCGCTAACATTGCTCGTCGAGGGAGGCGATGGCTTGGCATACGTAACACATGTCTTAACCATCTCAGTCTTTGTAGCTTCACGACTTCGTCGATTGATTTACCCTGTTTACCTAGCACTCGACGCCTAACCTCAATGTTGCTCACCTTATTATGCCACTTTACACGGGAAATAGAACGCAGGCACCTATGATCAAAGACAGCTAGTCTTTTCATGGCTTCCACTCTCAGTGGCCAGGTCTCACAACCATAAAGGAGGACGGAGCGGACTGATGAGCAGTACACACGCCCTTTGGTCGATAGTCGAACATCTCGTCTACGCCAGAGTCGGCGTAAACTGGCAGATGCGAAACGAGCCCCTTGTATTCGTGCTGAGATTTCGTCAGAGATCAACCCGTTGGCACTGGGTGATGGTACTTCCCAAATAAATGAAGTGGTCAACGTGCTGTACCACTTCACTTCCTATTTTTAAACTAGGCGTCGATGTAGTCCAGTCTTGCATCATCATCTTGCATTTGGATTCAAGAACACTATCCAGCATGGTTGCGAAAAGGCAATAGTGGTGCAATAAGGAGTGCAATAACTGAACACCTGGTTAACACCGATATTCCATTTCAACAAACGCCTCTTTCAAATTAATCTACAGTGTCAAGAATAACCTACCAAAGGCAACGCGGTTTCCTCTTCTTTGTATCGCTGAAGCTCTGGCCATTCACATAGAAAAACCGGGGCTGTGCATACAAAAGAAGATTACTCGACCACTTCTACTGTCATGGTAACAACTTTTTTGATTTGATTTCGATGACTTAATTTTGTTTCTTTGCCTGTTCTTTAATTGCTTAGAATTCTTGTATTCATTCAGAACTCTTACGTAATTTCGTATTATCTGGTTTGTTCCTATGTGTATCCTGAGTAAAACTCACTCATCAAATTATTCATATTATTACGTAACTCCTTTTTGAAGACTGACTGCGACAACTCATCACCTTTGTTACTACCCTGGTTTCATTAACACCTAATTTTCTTGACTTGTATTACCAACCTTCACCTGTTTAGTTAAAAGTAACCTTAACCAATTGTAATTTTGTTTGACAAACTTGATGTACACATACATGCAAAATAACCCACGTATATATTTGCGATTGTACAGCTAAGAAAATGAATCCGCCGCCGAAAAGAGACTCTTCGCTGATCTACGTGTATTTTAAATAAGCATCACCTTTAGATTTTAAGGTTCACTCGAGTATTGTAGGCATACAGTAGTTTTGAAAAAAAGACAATCCTAAAATTGAATTACTTTTTAACAGAAGTAAAAGAAGACGTCAAGTATTCAAGTACTGGTTTGTGGGAAGTCGTGACCACTAGGGTATAGCAGGTCGGGTGTGAGGACAAATACTCGCTATTGATGACATTAGCTAGTGAATGCGCTATATAGGGAATGGGTAGAAGTTAGAGTTCACGGGTTCGCCACTGGATCAGATCCCGGTGTTGTAATGGTCTACGAGCTCGCCTTGTAATCAGAAGGTCTTGCGTCGGTGGCACAGAAGGTTAGGACGCTCGCCGACAATGCACATTGTCCAGGATTCAATACCTGATATCAATGGTCGGCCTACTAAATTTAAGCTACCAATATCACATGCTGAAAATTTCATACCTGTATTAAAAATACTGTTTGGAGTCACGTCATAATAAAAAAAATTCGAACACCGGTGGATGCATACGGCTAAAAAGTCTCGGACCAGGGCGAAACAGCCGTCCAGTACTCCCTGGTGGTTTTCCAATGGTTCTCTAACCGATGTCAGCTCATGATGAAATCCTGTAAAACGTTAAGTAGCCAGGGAGATACGAAGTTGCTGAAATTTGCCCAATAGGTGCGACGTATGGGATAAGGTAGACGAAATCTTACAATTCTTGTCATATATTGTAACTCCAAAGTACATTTAAGTTTGAGATTCACATACAAAAGGAAAACTTATTTTTTTTTAAAACAACTTTGTTTTATTTATTATATTTACTGTCGCATCACTCCAAGAAGGCATCGGAGCATTGCATTTCATGTTTAATATGAATACAACGCAATAGACTGGTCTAATGTATTGACTACTTCACTTATTTTGGAAGTTGTATAAGCGTTAATGGACCGGTAGCTGACAAAATCTCAGTAATGATATAAAAGGATCGTTCGACAACCTATTAAAAGAGTATGGTGTATAGGACGACGTCTCGTTATGCTCTGTTGTTTGATTGCAGCATCTGATCACTTACATTAGAAGATACGATATGATTAAAGGTTCTTTTCCAATAGATATCATTGTTCAATTAATAACAATAATGTAGAACAATATGATAAGTGATGTTGAGATTTGGTACAATGTTACTTAACGAGATGTACTAAATATGAAGAGCCCCAACTTTCCTCGATAAGCAGTGTCATCTACCCAACAGATAGCTACTAATCTTAATGTAGTGGTCGCGCTCGCATATCGAAATCATACACAACGAGCAATATTGGCTGGAACTAATGTTTCTGTAAGTCCTACTGTGACGACAGAAGACAAGGGCCAGGCAACAGATCGTTTATTGAGAAAATCAATAGATATTCATAGATTTTTATGTACATTAATATTCGTTGTTGTTAGCAGAGAAGCAACGTCTTCTGATTGGTTGTTGTCTTGCTGAGAGTCATTCCGCCATCTCTTTGAGGTCAATTCTTAGAAGGTTAAGCCACATATCTGCGAAAAGTATCTGCACACGTTAAGCCTGCTGTGGATGGTTGGTAAGTTCCTCAAGGTTAGGCTTTGTTACTGTTTTTGCTCATGACCCCGATTCTGGGCTTAAACACTGACGTAAATTGTTGTCTGCAATTTCGGCTCGCAGACAATTCTCACCACACTACCATATCAGAATGGTCACTTGGATAGCAATTAGTCTAAAAGCAATTATCATCATAGTGTAAGAGGTTTACACTAAGTCGGAGGGCTTGTTGTCGAAACCATACTGCTAGCGAATGGGAATATGTAATGCCAGTAAGGTGTTTCCCTAAGATAACCAGGAGACTAGCTATGCTGTCTCTGCACTCTGGAGAGGTGCAACAAGGTTAAAAAAGGCTGACCTCAAAAGTTGAACATCCTGATTTACCTAGCAGCGATCCGCAGTCGAAAACCACTTCAATGTTATCTACAATCACATTGCGTTAGAAAAAAACACTTTATGTTGAAAAAACTATAGAAACAAAAACCTGGCACCGATCTATGAAATAACTAACGCATAACTTGTATGACTGAGTGTTCCCAGAATGCATAAAAATAATTACTGTTTACACACATCTCATCCCCTCGACTCTTAGCCACACACACCTTCGCTCTCCAGGCACTTTTATTAATGCGAACAAAATTAAGTATGACATCAACAACCATGACAAACTTGCTATCCCAACTGATTCCCATGTCAATCAAATTCAGAGATAAGTTCTTCTATAGAACACAATGATCACCACTCATGTTTGAGTATTATAGTCATATTATCTTATCACAATATCACTTAACTAATTCGTGTGTGTGTTTGTGCGTGTGGGAAAACAAAAAAGAATATAAATTGAGATAAACACACATACACAAACAGACATACAAACATGCACGCATACATACATACATACATACATACAAACATGCTACAAATATAACAAAAAGGGAATGGGGAGGGGTTGTGTGTATTAGAAAAAAAACAGAGCAAATAATAAGTAAATCGCAAGGAGAAAATAAATAAATTACGCTATCTACCTGAAAGTTCTCAGGCGTATTTTTCGCCTAGAATAACATATATTTACGGTGTTAATAATAATAATAATAATAGCGCACAAAGTGAAACAGTTATATAAATATAAAACAAACCAATCTCATATATGTAAGGCAGCAAAAACACATTTTCTAACTGATTCTTTTTACACAATTCTGAGTACATTTTCTTAAAAAAAAAAAAAGACGTTAGAATGAAAGTAGGAAAGGGAACGGCAACTTTTATGATTGAATCGCTTTTTTATTATAAATACTCTTCTCAAAGGATATACTGCTTATAGATCCATCAATATCCAAACCGTCATAGGAACCTAATGCTGGAACAGTCATAGGATGCTACAAAAATATAACAAAAACAAGAATAAGATATAACAAAAACGTTTAAAAAAAAGAAAGAAAAACAAATATTATTGAGAAACTTATTATTAGTAGTCAGCAGGTCACCTGTCTCCTGGACAGAGTCATCTCAACCAACCAGTAGCGGCAAAAAGATAAGAGAAAATACCAAAGCCAGTCAGGATCTGGAAAGATCTTCATTAATGCCAAAATCATCAGTGTAGAAATCCGCTAAACTCAGCATAAAGAACAAGGTTGAAGTTTTCAACACTAATGTCAAAACACACTGGCTTCCATAGGGTTCAGAGACTTGGCGTGTGAGTCACAAAATGCCTTTGCAATAGGCCAAAAACTTTTATCAACACCTGTTTTCGCTGGTTGTATACTGAAGGTCAGATGACAGGCCCGAAAATAATTAGCAACAAGGAATTCTGCCAACGAATTAGTAGCCAAGATCCTATCGCCCAACAAATATGTATATAAAGAAATGGAGATAGATTGGATATACACTGAGGAGACCGTTGGGTGATATGACGCGATAAGCAAATCCTCGATCGGTACCTAAATGGGAAGCGACGAGATAGGTATGTGTTCGAAGGTGACAAGAAGATCTTGTGAGAAGGAAATGATAGATAAAAGGCAGTCGTGGAATCAGCTACAAAAAAAATCCTGCTGAAGCCATATGCTCCGCTTGGAAACACTTGATCCAAGATAAAAAGCAGAATAAAAGTAGGCACTTTAGGACTAAGTAACGTACTTACATTAAACAGAGGAAGACAACAATAACAATAATCGGGACTCAACAGTAAATCGGTTTCATGACCTATACATACAGTATTCGATTAAATTGATGAAGGGGCTGAATTGTAGTGTTTCTCAGTGGGGAACCACTGATATTGTAAGATTACAGGTTACCACAGTGTTCAAGTTATACACATTTCTCAAGGCAACAGTTATATTGTATTAAAGCCAATCAATATTGATTGGAGGTTTCCAATCTCTCTCTGTCTTTCCCTCTTTATTTACTATTACATAAAACTTTATCATATACATTACTTATAAATGTCTCTTTAACTATGACCAGCATAATCGGGGTTAATGAGTGTGAATATGCACAGGGAAAAAGTCACGTATTTAGAGACAATAAAGTAGAATCTAACTAGTCTTTATAGTACTTTTATTGTGTGTATAAACATGACAGATTTAATGAATATTCCTTCAACAAAGAAAGGGAAAGTTAAGCATAATTTTTCTCTTCTTAAAATGCATTAAACACAGCTAAATAGTTAGATATATACTTTTCCTTTTTTTATTAAACTAAGTTACAGTAGAAATAGTCTGAATTCTTGGGTAGAATTCAGGAGAATGGGAGGGGGGCGGGGTTGAACCAAGGATTCACTGTTTGGCACAATCAGGCACAATACCAACCTAATAAATTAAAAATCTCAATTCAAAAGATGTACATAAATTTCTGCAGAATAGCACAATGATAGGTTGCTAGAGTGCAAAACTGAAGTATGGATGGGTACTTAACCCTTCACCTTGCCAACATTGTGAATCATCTAATATTAGAACAAGACATACAAGCGAACAATATTGATTTCAATTAGATATTTTTTATTACAGCTTGATTCCACACCATATTTCTTGGTACAGGTATGGAATTTTTCAGCATGTGATATCGGTAGCCCAAATTTTGCAGGCCGACCATAGATATCAGGTGTGCATCGGCAGAGGATCGAACCCCGGACTATGCGCATGATCGGCAAGCATCCTAACCGCTGTGCCACTGACGCACAGGCTTTACTCTAATTTACATAGATTTATACATAAAAATTTTCACCAATGACGGTGATTTTGTGGATCAAATAATAATGATAATGTGGTAAATGTTTTGAACGAAATTAATAACGATGATTAAATAATGATAACAAAATATTGATAATAATAGGGCAAACAACTAGACATCTTAACAAACGCATTAATAAGCATCTTTCTTCATGGTTCGGAAAAGGTCAAGTAAAATCCATACGAAGTTCTATTTTGGCTCATTTGATTGATAGTGGTCACCAAGTGGACAAAAATAGTGCTTTCAAAGTTATTTACCGCATTCCATCGAGTCTTTCGAACGGAATCAGAATCCGTCTTTTACACTTAGCCGAAGCTATGGGAATCAGAGAGAACAATCCTAGTCTTTGCATACAAAAGTTTGTTCTACTTTTGTCTCTCCCTCGGCCTAGGTGAATTCTATTCAAAACCCTCCCTCCAACCCTTTCTTATCTTCTATCTCCTTCGTAAAAATATAACTAACCCTTACAAACCAAACTATAGAAAATATTTATTTAGACTCTGTGCGTCGGTGGCACAGTGGTTAGGACTCTCGCCGACGATGAACATGGTCCGAGGTTCGATCCCCTGCCGACGCACACCTGATATCTATGGCCGGCCTGCAAAATTTGGGCTACCGATATCCATGCTGAAAATTTCATACTTATACCAAAAATACAGTGTGGAATCAAGCTGTAATCAAAAATAAAAAATTATATGTCCACTTCACTTTTTAAGATTTGACCTAATTTATTTATTTATTGAATTGTCTACATATACACATAAACACATATTACTACCTTTGTTATTCTTATCACCTGCATAAACCTTATTATCAATATTTTGTCATCATTATAATCATCGTTATTAATTTCGTTCAAAACATTTACCACATTATTATTATTTGATCCACAAAATTACCGTCATTGGTTAAAATTTTTAAATATAAATCTATGTAAATTAGAGTAAAGCCTAAAGAAGATCTAACTGAAAACAATATTGCTCGCTGATATGTCTTGTTCTAATATTATAAATGGGAATATTTAAAATTCATCTAATAATGATAATGACATCTTTATTCTGAACAGCATTTATAAGATGTACAGAATTTTCTGAGGAGTTTATTACATAATGTTTTCCCTTTGTGCAATATCTTCAAGTAAAATATTAATTGACAGTATATCCTTCCTGTGACACACAGTGGTCTCTAAGCTGAAGCACAAGCCACTTCATTATGATGATAAATCTGCTTTGTCTTCTTCAAGAAATCCACGACATCGATCTAGCTGCAAGTCAACTGCAAGATGTTCAGAATTACATTTTGAGACCTAAGGACTTAACCGAGAACAGTTCATCTCATGTATTAGAACACATTACCACCTACAACCAGGGTATTTCTCAAGTTTAGTAGGAACTTGTGAATCAGAAGATTGTGAACATTTTAAATACACATAAGAGTAGACAATACCATTAGAGATCATATCTTAATCGATGAATACAAAAACTGAACGAGAAAAAATATATGCAATAAAGAGATGAAAGTTTTTGGTAGCCCAAGTTTTAGACAGGCCGCTAAAATATTCTTCGCTTAGTTCTCTTGTACTTTCTGGTTTAGACTGACTGAATGCTTTCAGTATAGAACTTTGCACCGATGTGCAGCAGTTCAAGTCGTCACACTCCGTGTAGTACACAAAGCAAGAGAAGAAAGTAGAAGGAATGCAAAATAGAGACATTCAACAAGGATATCAGACAAAAAGAAAAGTGATATCGAAGAACGATATTGTCTTATTAGGTATTATAAGTCACAAGGAGTAGATGCATCTGCATCAGCCATTGAAAACGATTTTGAGCCAAATTACCAATTGTCTTTAGCCATTAGTGTTTACCGACCAAAGGTACCCCCAACCAAGAAGTCTACACTTTCCTTTGTGGCCCAAACTAACTGTTGTGGATTTCACTGACTAATGTCATGCTTTTGTTTGATCACCACTAGTTCTTTTTCAGCCTCACCCTATATCAGCTAACATTTCCCGTCGAGGAAGGCAATGACTAGGCATGCTTGAGTAACACATGTCCTAACCATCTAACTCAATCAGTGTAACTTCACAACCTCGTCGATTGATTTCCCCCCCCCTCACCTAGCCTATCCTCAATATTGCTCACCCTATTATACGACTTCACACGGGAGATAGAAAGCAGGCACCTATGATCTCCAGTAATATATATATATATATATATATATATATATATAATGCTTGAGAAAAGGCTTATTCATTTGTATGTGGCAATCTATCCTAATATACATATGATAAGTATTCATAAGTTGTTATATCTGTAGGTCTCAAAATGTATTCCTGAACTTTTAGTAAAATTGATTTTCAATCAAATGTAGTCGATATCTTTAAGAAGGCAAAAATGAAATAATGACGATAGGATTAGTTCGTGCTTTAACGCAAGACAACATTGTTTCACAAGATCTACTGTCTACAAGATCATCTTGTTACCAGAAGGTACTGAATTCGAATGCCGCAATGTGGGTGCGTATTGATGAAGAGCCTCAAAGTAGACTGACGAAACAGGCCTCCCAATGGTTCTCTAACCGAAGTCAGCTTATGATGAAATCCTGTAGCCAATTAATGTTTTATCCGAAAATCTTGTACGAAGAGAAAATACCACGGAATAAACTCGGTTGGAAATTGTGTGTATTATATAAATACTGTCCAGATTAAAGCTGGTATTATCACTATTATTATTATTATTAAAGTGAATACATATATTGCATTAAAACAAACAGCAAAATAAAACACCTACCTTTCTTGAGTGATAAACATGACGAATTCCAAACCAAATCTACAAAGAATTTCAAAGAAATAATAAAATGATGATAATAATAATCATAAATCACGCAGATTGTGTGTGAGGACAAATACTCGCAATTGATGACATTCGCTAGTGTCAGTCGTGCCATAACATCAATTGGCAGAAGTTGGAATTCATAGACTAGCCATTGGATCAGGTCGGGTCCCAGTGCCTTCATGGTCTACAAGTTCGCCTTGTAACCAGAAGGTCCTGCGTCCAAACTTCAGCGGGTGCGTACCGTTGGACAGTCCAAAGTCCGAGGATGAAACAGCTGCCCTGTACAGTACTCCGTGCAGGTTTTACAATGATTCTCTAACTGATGTCAACTCACGATAAAATCCTGTAACAAATCAAATCCCTGCACACTAACAGTCAATTGTTAAGATAGATCACGAAACAGGAGTGCCATACGAAATTTCTACGCGGATTTATCGTACTCCCTAGTGAATATCATGTTAGTCATTCAGTAACATTTGTCAAAACATTCACGGTGGGAAAACACAACTACCGCTTTCAAAGTGATCCATTGGCCTATTAAACAACACTTTATGAGTTGATAGTTTATTGACAAAATGCCTGCCAACCGCGTGAGATGAATTGGTTAGATTAGTGTAAAATTAAACAGAGGAGGAGCAGGCATCAAGGAATTTTGACTGCGAAACAGTCAACAAAAAAATATGAAGAAGGAGATGGAATGGACATATGCTGAGAAAACATTCAATTAGCAAAACACACGACAGTTAGGCCTTTGAGTGTAATTTCAATATGAAGCGACGACTAGGATATGAGATCAAAGATAATATGCAAAAGAGATCATGTGAGGTAGGAATGAAAGTTTGTGAGCAGTTGTTCAGTCAGGTCAAAGTGATGACAGTTAAACGGAGGACTGATAGGGTCGTATGTTTTACTAGGGAAGCAAAGGACAAATGAGAATTACAATAGTAATCTAGTCAAGATTATCCATGTGCCGTTGAATATGCCAATGACGAAAATAAAATGCATATTATTATTGTTATTATTATTTATTTTATTCCTTTATGTTCCCAGTGGAACGTAGCGCTTCAAGTTTCGGTAGCAATGGTATTTATTTTAACGGGGTAAGGTTGCGAGTCTCATGCCCAATCTTTCCTGTTTACCAGTCTTATTGCTGGCTTAGCAAGGTAAGAGATTGGCGTCCATGGCCGGGGATCGAACCCCCCAACCATATGCGGTGTGGTTGGCGACCATTCTACCGCTGTGCTATCGAAGACCAAAATACATATTATGAGCACTCAAAATACACTAAACATGTAAGAAAAAACAAAACAAAACTCATTTAACAAACAATATTTTAATTATTGTAAAAAGTTTACCATGAAGTAACAAAGTTCGTATTTGTGATACAATTAGAATGACTGATAAGAAAGAATAAAGGACAATAAGACATTTTGGTACTATGAACAGTGTTGACGGTATTTCGATGATCACTGAAAAGAAGCGTCTATCAGGCCACATAGAAAAAAGATTGAGGAGAAAATAAATTTTGCAGAATTTATACAAATTTTTGATTTTTATATATATTTTCAATTATTGGTTTTTGTAGGGATTTTGTTTGATCGCATGAAGGATTTCGCCATGAGCTGACATCAGTTGGAGAACCACTGGGAAAGCTGAGGGTACTGGACATCTGTTTCGCCCTAGTTTTGGACTCTTCATCAGTACGCACTCACCAGGGTTCGAACCAAGGACCTTCTGGTTACAAGGCGAGCTCGAATACCATTGAGTTACTGGGAATCAATTTTATGCTCGCTAGTGACTGGCCCTTTTAGGCAGTTAACCTAGGGTTCTAGTGGGAAACCGTGACCAGTAGGGTACAACAGGTTGAAGATGAGGCATTAACTCACCGAAGAAGATAATGCAAAATGGTCACGCTATGTCGTGAATTGGCAGAAGTTAGAATTCAAGGATCATTGGATCGGGTCCCAGTGGCTCAATGGTCTACGAGCTCGCCTTGTAACCAGAAGTTCCTAGGTTCGAACCCCGGTGGGTGCGTACTGATGAAGAGTCCTAAACCAATACTAAACAGCTGTCCAATACTCCATTTAGGTTTTCCGGTGGCTCTCGAACTGGTGTCAGCACATGGTGAAATCCTCCATGCAATCTTATATATATCATCTGATTTAGCTACCAAAAACAGGTTAGAAGGGCCATAATTTGTATTTGCATGAATTCTGTTTAAGATATAATGTTGAGTTGCCTAAATGCGTAATGACGTTGTCAGGGCAATCTGTAATCGCTATGTGATCAAACTATAGTGTGTAAGTGTGCATAACTGACTGACTGATTTCAACGTAGAAATTTGCAGCAGTACTTGCCACATTCCTTCTATGGAGCCGACAATACAAGGGAAGAACGAAGAGAAAGATTCAAAACAAAGATAACAAACACAGATATGAGACAAAAAGAGTAGTAATACGGACGAATAATAAAGTTTTATTGGATATTATAAATCACAAAGGTGTGTCGGTGGCACAGCGGTTAGGAAGCTCTCCGACCATGCACATGGTCCGGGGTTCGATCCCCGGCCACGGACACACTCCTTTACCTCGCTAAGCCAGAAATAATGCCTGTTAAGAGGAAAGGTTGGGCGTGAAGCTAGCAACCCAATCCTGTAAAATTAAACACTGCTACAGAAACTTCAAGCCACTAGCTTGAGGCCCTATTTTCCACCGGGGAACGTGAAGGAAAAAAAAATAAATCACAAAGATTGAGTGCATCCGCACCAGCCATTGAGAACGATTTTAAGCCACATCACCGATTGTTTCCAGCATTCATTGGTTTTTACTATCCCGAGGACTCCAACCAGCCAAGAAGTCTACACCTTCCTATGTGGCTTAAACTAACTATTGTGCATTTCACTGACTGATGAAGCCATGTTTTTGTTTGACCAACACTAGCTCTCTTCCAACCTGATTCTATGTAAGTCAGCTAACACTGCCCGTCAAGGAAGGCGATGCCTAGGCATGCATGTGTAACACATGTTCTAACCATCAAACTCAATCGGTGTAACTTCACAGCCTCGTTGATTGATTTTTCACCCACCTACTCCTCACCTAGCACTCGACCCAAACCTAACCTCAATATTGTTCATTTCCTACCACGTAACACGGGAGAAAAACGCAGACACCTATGATCAAAGACAGCTAACCAGCCTTTTCATGTCTTCCACTTTCAGTGGCCAGGTCTCACAGCCATAAACGAGGACGGGGCCATCTGATGAGCAGTACGCAGGCTCTTTGGTCGACACTCAGCCGTACATCACGTCTACACCAGAAACGACGTAAATAGGCATATGCCGAAAGGGCATTCTGTATCAGTGCTGAGATTTCATCAAGAATCAACCCGTTAGAGGTGACGCATCTTCTCAAATAAGTGAAGTGATCAGCATGCTCTACCACTTCACTCTGTATCTTTAACCTAGGAGTAGTCAATGTAGTTCGGTTCAGAAAACTTGATACAATATGGCACCAAGCAGATGCGCCATACAATAATAATAAAACAACAACGATTAAAAGTAAAAATATGGGTGGAGAACGGACAGAGAACTTCATCTTACATTTGGCGGGAGCGAATCGCATACCAACATTCGAAGACTGCTGCCCTTCAAGGTGTTCAGAGGACTATGTATTTTTTCGGCGTCTTTACCTAGAAGGACTATATCATCTGCATATTCTAAGTCAACGTGCATACTTACAAATTATCGGTTGAAAGCAACAAGCTTGTATCAATACAACACAGATCAATAATCGAAATAATTCGCTAAAACAATAAACTTCAGCGAATGAAGGTAAGAGGATCGAACACGAAGAAAGTAGTTTAAATTGATACGTTAAGAAATGATGTACAGAAGAGGTAGATAAAGGGGATCTTGACAAGATGATGATAATAATGATAAAGGATAGGTACATTTGTGCTACTGAAATAGTTTTTGAATCATACTGCAGATAGTCTCAAGTTTTTTTGATGTCCTGGTAATACATACTGTAGGATTGACCCCTAGAATTACGATCTCTTCACAACGACCTAGTACTACCGAAGGTGGACAGACGTCAGTCATCCTCTCGAAACGTCCTCATATGACCCCAAGTTTATAGCCTCTATCAAGTAGTTCCTATTTACTGATGCCACGCTAGAGTCCTTACTCGCAAAGGTGAAAGGGTGAATACCAACGCCTGGCTTTTACGACCAGACTGACAGACACGCAGATCTACCTGAGAGGGAGCTAAAAAAACTCTGATTCCAAACCTATGGTGTACTTAGATTCTGGAATCCGAATGGAACAAATGACATATGTGAACCTGTTTTGGTTACCGGAAAGCAAAGGAATGTACCTCCTTACGCAGATCCACTGCTTTGTGGATCCGATACAGCACAACTTGGCAAATGCCAAACAAGCTCTTAGTATCTGTGCTGAAATTTAGTCAGCAATCAACCCATAAGGGCTGATGTAACTCACCCAAAAAGAACAGTGGTCAACATGACTTACTATACCAGATGTTGATTCTGTTCTCACCCTACGACGTACACCGTTTAGCAAAACCTAGTGTCAATTATGTAATCCAATAAGCATCTTTACCTTCATATACCATCAAAATAAAGAAAGTACACGTGAAACAAAATCAACAATGTTGAGAAAATTGTATCGAATTGTATCATGCGGTAAGGAGTGAACGAGGTGAGAAAAAATAATTGACTGTCTATAAATAAATTGAACACAATTGAAAAACACCCTTTCTGTCAGAGTTGAGCACAATTATGTTACTCGACTAACCAGATAAAATCAGATTTCACAAATTAAAATGTTTTTTAAAGTATTGTTACCTTTATGTGTCAAATCAATAAGGTGATGTCTATAAAACCTAACAAGTACAATAAATTCAGTGTTGATTTGCAGGGATTTGGTTATATTCAGTTATATTCAAGTTGCATCACAAATTGATTTCAGTTAGAGAAGCACTGAAAACCAAAGTACTGGGGTAGTTGTTTTGTCCCAGTGTGGGACTCCTCACCAGTACACACCCATAACTACCCCTCCCCCATTCCGAGAACCGAAAACTCGGGACCTTCAGGGTACAGGATCAAGGACGGAACCAAACGGCCCATGAATTTTCCCTTCTGCCGACATATATATGTATATATCTGTAGATCCACTGACAGCTACTATTACCCAGGCAGCCGACTGGGTGGACTTCTGTCAATTCACGATATAGCGCAACCGCTAGCCAATGTCTTCGGCGAGTATTTGTTCTCACATCCGACCTGCTGCACCATACTGGTCACGATTTCCCACAGTGGCTTAATGGTCTACGAACTCGCCTTGTAACCAGAAGGTCTTGGGTTCTAACCTCGCGGTGTGGGTGCGTACTGATGAAAAGTCCCAAACTAGAACGAAACAGTTGTCCAGTACTCCCAGGTTTTTCAATGCTTCTTTAACCAATGTCAGCTCATGATGAAATCCTGCAACCAATCAACCAAATCCCTAAAATCCCATTCTTGAACTCAATGATTGATTTTTTCGTTTATTAAATAAGCCAGTCCCTGATCAGTTACCTCAGAAATAAACGAATCATCAACCTAGATTATCACAGTAAGAAATTCCATGATGAACCAACCACCAATATGCAACAGCCATGCTGGGGAAAAACAAAAAAGACACAGTAAAAAAAAGAAGTGGTTGGGAACAATTTCTCAGACATAAACACGCAGACATAAAAGTGATTCATTTAAAACTGTTGGTGTTCAAAACAGAAAATAAAGAGTACAAAAGAAGGAAGATAGAAGAGACGGTGTCAACAACAATAATGCACCAAACACAAAGGGAGAAGGTAGAGGTGAACCATATCTACAACCTACATGGGAATGAATTGTGAAGCAGCTAACAAAACTGATTTTGAGCTGTGTTCTCGAATCACTCGTTTCTAGCATAACATGGATCCATGAAGCTAGCAGCCTATTACGTTGTATTACCGGTTATAATAGTTTTAGCCATCAAACGTTTACAAATGACTCACATTCATAGTAAATGATTGTATAATTCAAATATATATATATATATAAAACTTACCAGATAGAATATGAATCCTAAGTAGAGAGCAAACAGTACCGCTGTGCCTAGATATACTCCCCAATGAGGCGGTAGACGAGCTTTGATCACAACACCACCCAAGAAGAGATTCACTGATACAACTGCCAAAGATATCAAGTTGGCAAGGGTCATTACTGGACTATAATGGCGCAAAGAAAAGCAAATCAGGCGAACACATTTAAATTCTCATGTACAAATATTAACACAAATGTGTATAAATAAGTTAAACAGAAAAAGCATTATTATAATTACCATTGTGGTATACAATAGTTGCGATCACAAGTCGATGAAAGCTTGAAAACCCACAAAAACCGCTGTCTGGCAGAATACATTCACTGTATCGCAGCTTGGAAGTCTCTATATTGACAAAAGCTGAGACCTAAGATCCCAAAGGTGTTGAAACCGACAGGTATAGGTTATTCGAAAAATGTAATGTTACACAACAAGAAGCATTTGTGATTTCCTACACTTGTTAATCTGCCCCACACCGGGGTTCAAACTTGAAACCCACTGGTTAGAAGTTGAACGCTTAAAGTAATGATATATCTACAGCTCTACTTCAGATTAACCAACTTCAATCAACTTGAGATAAAACGCAACCCATTAAATCAAAGTTTGAATCGAATCAAAAATAATACAACTGATGAAAAAGGCAAATGATTTTATGAATGAATAATCAGATCATCAAACAAAAATGAAAAAATTTTAATCAATAAAAATGATTGATACGTGTGGATGTAAAACAAAATAATTCAATATAATTTTGGTGAATAATGAGTCTTGACTTAACAGAAACGAAGACATATGATTGTAACCAAAATTTGGTAACTGGTATACACACACTCATGCATGTATCAAATAAAATAAAAGCATTTCAATGGTGCATACTACTGACTGATTGATTGACTGATTGATATGATGAGTAGGGTGGCATGGGCTACTGATAAGATTATGGCGTTCCTAAAGTAGACTGCAGTACAGGAGTGAGGCAAAGCTGTCTACTATCACCAATGAACTTCCTGATTCCAGTAGATTGCATAATGCGACAGACAATGGACGGGGCGATGGGGAAACAGGCATAAAATGGACTCACACAAATAACTTGGAGGATCTGGACTTTCGCCGATGACATATGTCTGATTTCACACAAACTGGAAGATATCCAAGTGAAAAGCAACAAGCTGGCAGAAGAAGCATCAAAGATAGGACTTCAAGTAAACACTGAGAAGATAGAGGTGATAAAGATTCCTAGCCAACAGCAACAGCAACAACAACAGACAACAATCAGCCAGTATAAATGGGAGGAACCTGAAAGAAACAACCTCCTTCACCTACCGACCTGGGAAGCATCGTTTCAACTACAGGCGGACGGAGCTGACGAGGATATCAAAGCCAGAATCGGAAAAGCGAGACAGGCTTTCATTACCCTTAAGTCTGTGTGGAGGTCAACAGAACTCACCATCAAAAATAACATCCGGATCTTCAACTCCAATGTGCAGTCAGTCAGTGCTACTCACCATACGGATCAGAGACTTGGCGCGTCATAAAGAGCATCTCAAACAAACTACAGACCTTCATTAACAGCTGTCTTTGCTCAATACTCAAGATCAGATGGCCAGAGATGATCACCATCAGGCATCTCTGGCAATGAGCGAACCAACCAGGAACCGATTGTGAAACAAATAGGCAGGAAGAAATGCAGATGGATTGGCCGGCCATACTCTGAGGAAACAAACTGTCAAGTGACATCACTAGACAAGCCATTGCTCGAGTAGAACCCGAAAGGGAAGCGGCGAGTTGGTCGTCAGTGCGAGGGTGGGGTGACTTGGAGAAGGTGATGTGAAGAGGAGATGAAAGCATGTGGGCAGACTTGGAGCGGGGTGAAAAAGTTAGCAGAAAACCTAAGGCAATGGAGATGCACAGCTGAAGCCCTATGTTCCTCTAGGAATTAAAGGATATAATAATAATAAAGTAGACTGCAATAATAATGTCAGTGGAATGAAAACACAATGTCTGAAGAAGGCAGAAAAAAAGGTAGCATTCAATGTCTCTTCACAATCATTCTAAAATTTTGATCAAGAAATAAGAATAAACTACCAGCTAATCTCGCCTCTTCCTCCAGGTTCAATAATTCAACCAATGAACTCCTAAGACTTACACTTAACTAAAAGTAAGCCCATGAAAAATGGAAAGATTGAGTGTGAGATTGGCGATCTCATCCAGTGATGAGAAACAGAAACACAAGCTCGCCTTGTAACCAGAAGGTCCTGGGTTTCAACCCCGCAGTGTGGGTGCATACTGCTGAAGAGTCCCAAACTAGGCTGACGAAATAGCTGTCCAGTACTCCCTGGTGGTTTTCCAATGGTTCTCTAACTGATGTCAGCTCATGATGAAATCCTCCATGCAAACAGAAACACCACTGTCAACTGAAAATTCACAGATTACGTGTGAAGCCTTATGTTCCATTAGGGATATGATGCCAAGGACTGAATGTAGGAAGAAGAAATCTGGTGTGTGTGTGTGTGTGTGTGTGTGTGTGTGTGTGTATAGGAGCATGCATTATTAATTTCTATTTACCTTTCGTATATATATCTCATATGATTGCTCCAAAATGACTAGAGGAGAAGTTTGAAAAGAATATAAGACATTCACAGATAACAGAAATACAGGAGAAATAAACTGATAATACTTAAGAATGAATTTACGCGATAAGACACACACAGACACACACACACGATAAGCAATACAATATGTAATAGGCTTTAATTACTTACCTAAAACAACAATAATAGTAATATCTAAGTACTGATTATAATGTGATAAGAAGCTTATTACTACACCACTAACGGTGCACTAGAGTTGAACCAACCACAATCCGATTAAAAATACAAGATTAGACAAAAATAAATAAAAATGGACGGGTGAAAGAGAAAAAATAGTGTATACCTGAACTACAACTACTTCTAGTGTACTCCTTTTAAGATGGATCATGCTAAGTTTCCTAATGATGTCACCGGTTGTCAACTTTTCCATTTTTTGTTGCACAATCATATCTGCACAACTGGCACAATTGCTGTGATTTCCCGCTACCTAAGCTTAATAATTTACTTCATTGCAATCAGCATTACTACTTGTCATGTAGGATAATAATTTGAAATGTATATGTGATACGGGTTGGACAAGAGGTGGCCAGCTGTCGTAGCCCAAGTGGTCTAGTGGATAACGCTTTGGTGTTTGAAACTGGGTTTGGAGCCTCGGTGATGGGAACATCATCACTCACTGAGAAATGCAGGTACATCCAGTTGGCTGACGAGTCCCAAATACGACGAAATGCGCACCCTGGCTGGATTCCATTGCTAATCACCATCCACCAATTAAATACTAACTAAATGCCCAGACATCGTTGAAGCATCTGCACAAGAAGCCGACATGTCAACCTTACACCGAGCACTTTGGTCCAATCAATCGACGGGAAAGTCTCAAGTTCAATTAAATGTATATGTGATACGCGTTCCTACTCTACCTCTCTTTCTCTCTATCTATCTATAAAAGCTTCATAATCTTACCAATTGTATTGAAGTAGAAACTGCTGTCCTGAAACATTGAATATACAAAAATCTAAAATATCGAAATTGTCTTTCTTAACGAATAATGTGAACTATTATTGTATGATACAGGCATCATTTGGGTCAGTCTACATTCATGTATTATGACAAGAAAGTTAAACAAATGCAGCAAACATAAAAATTACATGTTAGTGCCTTAAATGATGAGCTGAATATGGTGTTTGTTGACCAGTAAGTAGCAAAGCTTTGCATCGTGTACACGAAGTTATGATACCTTTATCAAGGCTTTCAGAAAACAGATCGGTTTAAACGGTGGTCTGCTTAGAACTTGGGCTAACGAAAATCTCCATCAATATATTAGCGCACATAGTTTCTCTTATTCTGTTTGTTTAACTCCAGTAAAGTATGACCTCTAGCAGTGTTTTGTTTTACTTTGGCGTATATTTCAAACATTTACAACCTGCTGATTCGTAAGTTTCTACTAAGCATGTAGAAAAGCATTGTCCTCGACGGCAGTGTATCTCAATACATGAGGTGACAGTTCCTCAGTGATGTCCTTTGTTCACAAAATTTACGCCTGAACATTCTATGATTAACATTTGACAAAAATGGTGCGTTGGTGACACAGCGGTTATGACGCTCACCGATCATGCGCACATGATCCGGGGTTCGATCCCCGGCCACGGATGCACTCCTTTACGTCACTAAACCAGAAATAAAAGCTGGTTAAAGAGGGAAAGGTTGGACATGAGGGTAGCAACACCATCCTATAAAAATAAACAACACTGCTACAGAAACTTCAGACCTCTAGCTTGAAGCAGCCCTATGTTCCACTGGAAACGTGAAGGAATAAAAAACAATTCGACAAAATGTCATGATTTTTTCGAAGCAGACAAAGAAGAGACATCATAATGGATTGGTTTGTGCTTCAGGTCAGATAGGACTGTGTCATAAAGTCTTGTTTGTCAAATAATCTTCTATTTGAAGATACTATACGAAGAAAATTTTGAACATTACATAAAGATTGTTCAGAATAAAGGTATTGCTAAATTTTTTTAAAAATTTATGTCATTTCACTACGGACTATTCTGCTTATCAACCGGTTAAGTTACAATACAAGGAACTAGCTGCCCAAGTCGGATTTCTCATGTACTATGTACTGACACACACACACACACATACAAAAGAAAACATGAAAACAACTAACTTACACAGAATTACTAAACTCCTCCATAACTGCTTTACTACTTGTAAATGTGAGCAATGGAATAACAGCGAATGGAAGCTGAACACTCATTAATACATTCAGCAAATCATTCATATCAGTTAAATCACCAATACCTGTAAAAGAATAATAATATTAATGAAAATAATTTTATTTGACTGACACGTTGGGGCTAGAAGTGGAATTTAAGACAAGCGTTTCGTCCTAGTTGAGACTCGTCAATTGCAGCCACTCATGTATTCTCAGTGAATAATAGTATTTACACTAGAACTCGAACCCAGTATCAATTGTTTCAAACACTAGAAGATTATTCAATAGGTCAATGGGCTTTGACAAAATAACCTCTTGTACAACGGGTATGAGTTATTTAATTATTGAAGTTAATTCGTATAACAACAGAGCTAATACACAGTCCGAGCATTTCGATTCAATACAAAAATCTGTGGAACGTTTGCGTAGAAGACAGTTTAGTTTGTATAGAGTTGCGATAAGTTCTGTTTCTTTCGAACTCGGTTACCAAGAAAAGGTTGTCCAAGTACAAAGTGATGAGGCATATTTATTGTGTGATGACTGACGATACTACCCGCTTGCACAGATCAAAGTGAAAAGGGATTCGAACTCAGAATCCCCTGGTTGAAAGTCGAATGATGGCATATATACTACTGACTGACTAGTTTCAACATTGAACTTTGCACAGATATGCAGCAGTTCGAGTTGCTACACTTCATTCAGCACACAAAGACAGAGAAAAAATTAAAAAGAAACGCAAAACAGAGACAGTAAAGAGAGATATGAGGCGAAAAGAATAGTAATATGGAAGAATAATATAGTTTTATTGGATATTATAAATCACAAAGAGTGGATGCATCTCACCCCATTGAGAACGACGATTTTGAGCCATATTACGGATTGTCTCCAGCATTCATTGGTTTTTACTATCCCGATGACTCCAACCAGGAAGTCTACAGCTCCCGACGTGGCTTAAACTAACTGATGTGGATTTCATTGACTGATGTCATGTTTTGGTCTGACCACCACTGTCTCCTTTCCAACCTGATCCTATGTAAATCAACTAACATTGCCCCGTCAAGGAAGGCGATGACTAGGCATACGTAACACATGACCACACCATCTCAGTCGATGTAACTTCACAGCTTCGTTGATTAATTTCCCCTCCTTACCTAGTACTCAACCGAAGCCTAACCTCAATATTACTCACCCTATATATACTACTACTGACTAATGAGTAGTTAGATACCAAACACGTCAACCAAGTTCATTGAGTCCTAGGCCTTTAAGTTACAAGGCCAACCCAAGGATCATTCACAGCTACTGCGTTGGAACCCAGTGGCCCATGAATTGTAACTTATTTCAATTCACTGTATAATGCTTTCGCTAAACAATAACCTAGCTAGGCATTAACTTCACACTGTGACCTGGTAAGACTCACCAACTTCAATTTATCCTTAGAACTGAAGAGGTTGATTTTCCATATTTCTTACATCTGTTCTTTATAGGTAAACTATCTCGAAATTAATACGATATATATATATATATATATTCTATTAAATTAGATCCAAATCCAAGTTTACAACATCACTGTGCCTGCAATGATGAGATAGTGGTAATTCCAAGCAAGAAAAAACAACCACTGATAAGTACATAATATACAAATAATTCATCCTTTATCGAATAAGAAAGAGAAAAAAATCCAGTAAAATCCAAAGAAATGAATGAATGAATGAATAAGGATAAACCAACCAACCAACCTTTGAATACAGTTGTTAGAATAGTTGGCAAAATAGCTATGGATCGTGTTAACAATACTCTTTGCCAACGTTTCCATTTTAAGTTTAAAAAGCCTTCCATAGCAAATTGTCCTGAATAAGTTCCTGTCATTGTAGACGATTGTCCAGCTGCTAATATTCCAATAGCCCAGATATATAGACATGCTAGACCAAATTCACAACCTAGAAATATACCCTTTAAAGGCAGAGAGATGAATTATGAAAAGAGAGGAACACATGAATATATATGCACACAATCAGTAAAAAAAGAAAATAAACGTAACAACTAGAAATCAGCGATTTTTGCTGTCGTTGTTCCAGGTAGAACATAAGACACCAGGTTTAAGGTCTTGGAGTTTCAGTATTCACAATGTTGTTTCTAAGGTGTGGGGGGGGTGAAGTTTCCAACCTCATGTCCCCGAGGGACAAGCTCTGTAGGTTAAAGACCCTGTTGACCCAATTAAACAAAATAATATAATTTACAAAATACCCTGCAATGACTGTGAGTTAAGTCAACTACATAGGTCAAACTAGTAGGTCAAGCGTAGTCAGATTGTCAGAACATAAGAATTTAGCTAAGGTTAGAATGGTTGACCCTGATAAGATAAGTAATTTAGAAAAAGGCTCAGCACTACATTGCACTGCATGCATTAACACACAACCACACAACAGGGTGGGAGAGGATTAAAATTCTAAAAAGTAATCTAGGTAGGTGGAGAGAGAGGTTGATTACGGAATCCTTGTTCATCGAGTCTACACCAAACACATGCAATAGGAATGATTCATCACTCATACCCGAAATATGGAAAATACTATTACCAATCAAATCAAGTGAAAATCAATTGAAAAACAATGGAACTATATAAATGAAGTTAGGAAGTCGTGTAAGTACCTTGATATGATTATGAGCAATAAATTGTGCTCGAAACATCATGAGTAAACATTACTGCATAACACTGTGAGACTTTATCAAAACAAAAATCTACCCATAATGGAATTACACTCTACCACAGTGCACAAGTTTTATTCTTATATCTGTTAGTTTGATTGACACCATAGAAACATGAAAACCATATATGACATTCAACTATATAAGTCACGCGTAAGACGCTGTATAGAGTATGTCTGTACAGAACAAAAGAAAAGGACAGAAAAGCACATCAACTTACTCCAGTATAAAGATCTACGCTATCCGGTTGGAAAGTAGAAGCCTAAAATTTAAAAAAGTGAATTAAAGGTCAATTTAACAATAATCTTGTTACATTGTGTTAGTAAGTAATTCCATATTAGTTTGTTTATTAGATGTATCACACAGTGAAACAGTATTACTGTTTACTGGATGACGAGGTTTCGAACACAATTTATTGTTCATAATCATGTCATCAATTATAATCACACGACTTTGAAACTTGATTTTTATAGTTTTCTTTGTCTTCTCCTATAAAACTCAAGTTTCAAAGTCGTGTGATTACAATTGATGATATGATTATGAACAATAATAGATTGTGTTCGAAACCTCGTCGTCCAGTAAATAATAATACTGTTTCATCACTGTGTGATATATCTAATAAACAAACTAATATGGAATTACTTACTAACACAATGCCCAAGTTTTACACATATATTAGTTCACTGAAACCGACAACTGCTAGTAAATGACAAATACATGAATATTGCATGCACGCCTCATGTAATGTGTCGAGAATGGAAGCTAACAGACACACACACACAGACACCCATATGATTACATATGTGTAAATCAGGAAACTAATTAATTCATGAATGAATGAATGAATGAACGGAGCGAGAGAGAGAGAGAGAATCAAAAAGCTAAACCAATTGATCTACCCTAATCGCTAAATCTAACAATCAATTGAAAATATCGACTGAACTGAGTGCAAACACTAGATCAATGAACAAAAACAGTGTAATACGAGAAAAGCGTATATATGTAGGGTATATCATTTTTGGAGCGAGGGTGCAGGTATAACATTATGCTTTAGCCCCTATTTTTTTCACAGTTATTGAGCCTGAATATCATTCTAGTTTAGACACGAGAGGTAGAAACCTGAACAAGCCTTGTAACTACTACTAATAATAATACCAAAGTGTAAACGCCATCACCCGGACAAGGTCCACAGAATTCTTTAAATCCCTAGTCTTTAATGTTTACATTTAATAAAACACAAACTTGATAGATTATTATAGACACCAAGAGAACAGTTTTTGAGAGGGCTGGAATACTTCGCGGACGCCCAAACCCCGAAGCAAGCGGTTGTCTGAAGGGGAAACTTACCCCCTACCACCCGCCGAGACTTCGATTTTTACTCTGATACACACGACAGTGGAACAGCATTAGAAGATACGTGTTCCAATGGTTTTCGGTAAACAAAACACGTTCATATGACGTTTGGTTCGTTCAGATTTTGGAGCCCATATACGTCATAGGCCTCGAATCAGGCTTTTCGAACTTCCCTAGGTGTAGAACAGTATGTCCACAAGTCTGGCATTCTCTCTTTCACTCCACCGAGTGAAGACAGTGAACAAGACTTACCTGACAGAGGTTATGAATGCGTGGCCGTATAACAGCGTTTCGAGAAGACCAAAGTCTTCTCACCCTCAGCTGTACCAGGTAGCTAATGGTGCCTTTATCTAGACGAACTTTATACTTTAACTTCTGAGTGCTGGCTTAAAACAAGCTTCTGGACTATTCAAACCAATCAAAATTACTCAAAAACCACGTGCAATTCCATGCAGTTGACAATGAGCTGTGTCTGTTAAATGACGGCTGGTTGACTGACTGACTGTTTTCAATGTAGAACTTTGCACAGATGTGCAGCAGTTCCACTTTTGCCATACTGCCCCCATAAACCACACAAAGCAAAAGAAGAGAGTAAAGAGAGACTGAAAAGAGACATAATAAACAGAAGTGTGAGTGAGAGAAAAAGGACAGAGTAGAGTTTTATTGGATACGAGAAATCACAAAGAGTGAATAAGTCTGTGCCATCGACAACGATTTCAGCCACATGTCAATGGCTCAATTACTGGAGTTTCATTTGTTTGACAACATGCTGAATCTATGGATTACTGTCTCAAGTAATGAGTTGTTTGTCTTTTAAAATATGTTGAATAATCTTTCCCCATTCGTCAACCTTCTAACCTAATTTTTTTGTTTTGTTAGGATAGTACAACGTCTACAGTCCTGATATCTATTTTATGAGACTATTATTTTAAAAATCCCTATTTTAAAAAAGTGGTTGCGCTATGTCCTGAATTAGCAGAAGTTAGAATTCATGGGTTAGCTATTATTGGATCGCGTCCCAGTGGATTAATGGCCTAAGAGCTCACCTTGTCACCAGAAGGTCCTGGGTTCAAAACCTGGTGATGGGTACACATATAGCTGAAGAGCTGTAGACTAAGGTGAAGAGACGGCTAGCTGCCGAGTACTTCCTGGTGGCTTTCCAATTGCTCTCTAACTGATGTCAGCTCATGATGAAATCCTCCAAACAATCAAACGAAATTCCTACAAAACCAATACTTGAATATAACAATTGTTTCACTTGAAATAAGTTTCTAATTTGTTTGTTTACAAAGTTTACTATATATCCGCGTATTTATATATATGAAAACATTAGTATCCAAAAACTGAACATATATATATATATCTGTAATAATGAGCACACCCTAAGACAAATCTTGATCGTTCAAACTACTTTCAGAATGAAACTTTTAAGTGTACTTAAGTTAAGAAACCCCAGATGTAATTTGGATTTTATTGATTGCTGGATAATTTTTCTTTGTTTCTCTTCAGTAAAGTTATACAAACGACAATCGACTACAAAGCATGTCACAAGATATAGACAGTTCTTTGTTACAAAAGAGCTTAGTTAAAGGTGAGCTTATGGAAGTATGTATGGATAGTTAATACCTCCCGATCGCTCACACAGTGGGACTTGATTTCTTCTTCAGAATACTTAAGACAGAAGAACCAATAGTGTTGTGTGACTGTAGAGCCAAGGCGACAACTGTTTGAGGTCAATTACACACGGTCTGTTTGAAGTGGTTTTTGAAGTTACGCCCGTATAAATGTTTTACCACTAACTAAGGATCGCCAAGGTCGACCTTTTTCGATCCCTCCCCATTCCCTGAGGCGAGAGAAACCATAGCTGCCTGGCTGCTTAACCAAAGGTAACACCTTATTATAGTCACGCCCCTATTCGCAAACATTACAATTTCACCTTCAGACTTATACACTATGATGGCAACTGTTTCAAGTTCAATAGACATCCGAATAACCTTTCTGGACCTGCAGAAACTGAGTCACAGTCAGTGTAGCTCATCGAGTCTCTACGGAACATGAAAGTCTAATCACGACATTAAAGTTAACAGCTATCGGTCGGGTAACAGAGTTCACCTGATAAAAAGAGTCTTGTCTGTTTTCAACACAGAACTTTGCAAGTATGTGCACCAGTTCAAGTCTGTCTGTCTGGATTCAACATAGAACTTGACACCGAAGTGCACCAGTTCGAGTTGCCACGTTCCAATTGGCACACAAGGTAGACAAGAAGATGAGTGAAGAGAATCAATAGAGTTTGACAAATATAAGAGTGAAACAGAGTGGGTAATTGTAGAAAGGAATATGAAAGATTACAGAGACTGAATACATCTGCGCTGGCCATTGACAACGATTTTGAGCCATGTCACCTACTGTCTCCAGCCATTGATTCCTAGAGTCCCGAGGGCCCCAACCCGGAAGTCTGCATCTCCCTACCTGACTCAGTTTAACTGTCAAGGATTTCATGGATTGATGCCATGTTCTTGTTTGGCCACCACTGGCTCTTTTCCAACCTGAACCTATATCAGCTAGCAATGCCCGTCGGGGGAGGCGGTGGTTAGGCATGCGCAGCACGTGACCTAGCCATCTTAGTCTATGTAACTTTATAGCCTCGTCGATTGATTTTCCCTCTTTGCCCAACACTCTACGCCTAACGTCAACATTACTTATCTTGTGAAACCACCAGTTCAAGTCACCACACTCCATGTAGCACATAAAGCAAGAGAAGAAAGTAGAAGAAATGAAAAATAGAAACAGTAAACAGGGAGGGATAAGAGACAAAATGAATAATAATAATAACGAAGAACAATATAGTTCCATTGGAAATTATAAGTCAGAAGGAGAGGGTGCATCTGCACCTCTACGACGCCGCTTAACCAATTATCAACTACTCTACAAGTAAACACAATTCTGGATATTGACAAGCCTATAAGTTTTCTTGTTACATATATTTAGTAAAAACCATTGACGGGGAAACTTTCAGTGGAATGTTTAATTTAGAAGATCGATTGATGAACAAAGAATATTCTTAAAATAATAGAAAAGATTTGTAACTCAGGTGGATGATTTGCAATTAATAGTGTTCTCTGAGTTGGTTGGTTTAGTTGTGGAGCTGCGCTGAAGATGTCGTAAAGAAAGACGACGAAAGCACCGCAACTAAACTAACCAACTCAGAGAACACTATTAATTGCAAAGAATATTCTTTTCAATAAATTCATCATTAGATTTATATGACAAATTCTGATGACGAATTTATCGAAAAGAATATTCTTTGTTCATTAATCAGTTTTTCAAATATCTTCAATGAATTAAAATGTCTAATACTTGAAGGGGAGAATATAAATTCAAAATAATTAAAGTAACTAATTTAAAAGAAAGGTGAAGTTTTATGTTAAGTGTTAGAATGTTACACCGAGATGATGCAATGAAAAAGTTGAAATAACCGCTTTTCAACCACTGTTTAAAGTGATTGTTTTCAGGCAATATTAAAAGACGAAAGAAAATACCAAGAACCATTAAAAAACATTTGCAGTAAATGTACAAGGCGACTGATTCTCCAGCTATGTAACTTCTGATTCAATCTTTCTATAATGCTACAATAATAAAGATATTATAACAGACAGTATGTAGACTACAACTGTATGATATATTTTGTAATGCGTAATAAACCTTGAGGGTTATAATGACTGAAATTTTAAACTCGTAGAGTTTTATTACTTGCGGTTAGTTAGTTAGTTAGGAAATAATAACATTGAGAATGGTTACTTTCATGTTATCATATAACTATTGATTTGAATCAAGTGGGGATGTGGTGGAGACTGTACAACTAAGGTCTTCAAGACGCTAAGAACTAATGAATGGAGAATGCTGTGTTGGTTAAATAGCTTAAAATCATTTTCAACAGAGTAAATCCCTTCACTCTTAATAAACTCCTAGATTCATGAGTAGCTATCAAATGAGCTCTAAAAGTATACGCCTTCTACAACAATAGGATTACTCAGATTGAATCAATTTCTTTTAACGTCAAATAAACCGGTCTATCTACCCTACAAACTGCTAGAAAATGCCAATCACCTACACATAAATGTCATCATGATGAACGTGTATTCCTGAAGAGGCCCAAAACTAGAACGAAAAAGCCATTCTTCAATGAAAGCCACTTCATGACCAAACTTTAAAACAGTCAAATATCCAGTTAACTAACACTTGGAAAGCCAACATTTCAACGACAACAACAATACGCCTGCAAATCGATTTAACAACACAATGAAAACAATCCTGTAACTAATTAAATCCCTACACACTAACACTTAGTTATTTATCTGATACTCACAAGCAACTGACTCTACATGTAAGAAGTTACGTTACCTGAAGTCCTAGAGAGAAGTCGTAACCAGAGGAGTCTACCAAGTCAAGCAAGAGGACGGTAACTCGTCTGTAACACTGGCTTGAGGTTACGCTAAATATACATCAGGTCGGGTCCCACTGGTTGAATGCTGTATGAGCTCACCTCACAACCTGAAGGCTTTAGGTTCGAGCCCCGATGGATGCGTACTGTTGAAGAGTTCTAGACTAGAATGGAATGCATGTCAGCACTGACAGGTTTTTCAATGGTTCTGTAACTGAAGTCACTTCGTGAACAGGCTTGAAACCAATCAAATCCCTGCAAACCAACGTTGAACAAGTAAAACATCTTTATTAGGAAATGTATATCATGTAAGATAACTTACTGCATCTGTGAAACGAACGGGAATGTGTCCTTGAAGTGTGCAATTTTCAAACTAAGAAGAAGAAAAAGTTGGAAATAAACATGAAGAAAGTACACTTTGAATTGAGAAAAATAAAATGTTCAAAACACTAACTATCTCAGTATAGGAGCTTTCTGAGTTAACAATACACATAAATTATTTCAGTCAATAATAAATAATAAGAACTAATCTAATCCTCACTAATGAGTGATTTATGGACGAAGTTGACTAAAGCTCTGGTGGTGGGAAGTCGACACCAGCGGGGTCCACAAAGTCCGTCATGAGGAGATAGATACTCACCAGTGGCTTTGAACTACAGGTTGCGCTAAATGTCACAAATTGACAGATGTTAGAATTTATGGGCCATTGGATCTTTCTACTTTTTATTTTTGATTACAGCTTGATGCCACACTGCATTTTTGGTACAAGTATGGAATTTTCAGCATGTAGCCCAAATTTTGCAGGTCGACCATAGATATCGGCTGTGCGTCGGCCGAGGACCGAAATTCCGACCATGTGCATGGTTGGCGAGAGTTCTAACCGCCTGTGCCACCGACGCAGTTAAATAAACCAGTCTATCTTCTCTACAAACTGCTAAAAAATGGCAATCATCATCACATAAATGTCATCCTGATGGACGCATATTCCTGAAGAGGCCCAAACTAGGACAAAAAAGACAATTAATTAATTCAATTAAAGCCAGTTCATGACCAAACTTTAAATTAGTCGAATTCTAGTCAACTAATCCTTATGGCTGAATGGTATTCAAATTCATCTTGTAAAGTGTAACTCCTGAGTTCAATCTCTGGTGAGGACATGTGTGAGCACTGTTGAATTAGTCACAAATAAGGACGAAGTAGCTGTCCAGTACACTTCCTAGTTTTCAATAGTGTACTCTAACTGAATTCAGTTAACAATCAGACTTGCAATATAAGAATCATATAGAAATGTACAAGCGTTGAAGACGAGATCACCGAAGAGGAAATCTTTTCCAATTATCAAAATGATGTTTGAAGAAAAACAGAGGCACTTACCACTTGTGTTGTATTCTTCCCATAGAATCCTGCACCGAAAACTGAGACAACGAATATATTTATCATAAGTGAAACAACTAACGCCAACGCTGACTCAATAAAGAAATACATATTTGCTTCACGCACCTAGAGGAGACAAGAAGAAAAAGAGACACAATTTGCCGAAAAATAAATTACTCATAGTGTATGACTGACAGAGAAGAGAGTTTAGAGGAAATATTTTTTTTGAAAACCACTTCACATAATAATAGTCTTTCAGAAATAGTTAACCATACATGACAGATGCTACACGGAGTGTGGCGACTTGAACTGCCGCACATTTGTGCAAAGTTCTATGCCGAAAACAGACAGACAGACATGACAGATGCAGAATTTTGTAGTTACACAGTTAGAATTGCGCATTCTGCATTCCACTGCTATCCACCATCGATCACATAACAACATGTTAACCGTCAGAAATTGTCGTAGCCTCTATACTAGCAGTTACTAGAGACTAAGAATTCTAGTCCAATATATAAATCAATCAACAGGTAATGTAAATTGACTTAAACAAACGGCAACTGATATACGTTGGACAAGAAGTGGCTGTCATGACTCAATAGCCTCATGAATAATGCTTTGATGTTTGGAATGATAAGAGGTGGGGTAGGGGTGATAGGGTTCGAGTATCGGTTGGAACACTATCACACTATTGAGATGCAAATACATCTAGCTGACTAGTCCTAAGTGCAAAAGAATTCACATTCTGCATTCTATCGTTAGCCACCATCAACCAAATGACAGTTAGTACTTAGTTACCCGAAACAGATTTTGTATCTATCAGACTATTAGTCACACTTATTATGCTGACTGGCTGGTTTTAACTTTGCTCAAATGTGACCATTTCGAGTTGCCACACTCCATGCAGCATATGACTGGTTGATAATGCTGTTGGCTAGAGCTCAGGCTAGGGTGAGTGTAGAGGAATTCGAACTTAGAAACCATTGTCTGATAACTTTTTTGTGCTTATGCCAATCAGACACATTTATCGCTAAACAAATTATAAAGTATCTGTTGGTTAAAATGTACGTCTTTACAAAGATAATTTTCACTTTCTTCTGCGAGTATAGTATATAAGTTCAAAACGTAGAATCGCCTCATATTTCAATTAGCTTCTATAATTAGTAAGAAGTGAATATCCCGTTCTCAACCCTCAAACATGTTATGTCTATATCAAACGAGCTGTAGTTTAAGACAATAGAAAGTGGACACATTCCCATCATCCTTTACCTTCAGTTGCATCTACTAAAGCACATAAATTAGATACACATCCGAAAGTCTGAGATTAAAGGCCTAATATGCACTAAGTGGAATTGCAAGAAATCTGTGGACACTGAAGGTGTTCGAAATGATCAAAATGAAAAAGGAAACCCCGTCTGCAACCTTCTGCTGAAGCAGTCACTATCAAAAGGTTAACACCAATCCTTTTAACAGAGAAGGACAAGACAATGATTTACCCATTATTACTTTGATGGTCATGAAATCATGTGTTAGATTAATTTTATTTTATTATACGATATGAATGACTCACTAAATGAGTTCCAATGCAAAAGTCTGAACAGAAATGCTGCACTTCAAGAGTTATCACAGTCGACATTTGGTAAAAAGTTGGGGGAAAAGAGTAGAGAAAGAAAGTAACATGGAAAAACATGAGGACTTAATGAATCTAAGAGATTACAAAAAGTGAATCCATCTGCAGCTCTATACAGAAGAATTTTGAGCCATATCGATATCGACTTCAACTATTGATTATTAGCATCTCGAGGATGCCAAGTCAGACAGTCTACAACTCCCTACCCGGCTCAAAACAACAGTTAAAGACAGTCATGGATAGGTGCCAAGTTCTCATTTGACCATGTTTGACCTCCTTCCAGTCTAGCTCCATGTCGAAAAGACAGGTCAGAAAGGAATATTCTGCGTCAGCTGACAAATCAGTCAGCGAGGAGAACTATGACTTAGCGCATAGCGCAGTAACACGTACCCTAGCCTCTTCAATCAACGTAGTTCTTCAACTTTATGGATTAATTTCCCCTCATTATCTAACGCTCTACGCCTAAACTTATTACTACTCACCTTATTACAAGAATGCAAAAATCTGTAGTCATAAACTTTTGGATATTCAGGTCTTTCACTTTCAGTGTATGAAACATTCCACTATCACTGGTGATATCTGACAGTCATAAAGAAGGATGACAAAAAGAGCTGATGCACAGTGTTCACATCTTATTTGAAGCGCTAAGAATAAACCAAGGTGACATTCAACATTCAGCAAATGAAGACTAGTCATAAAATGATACAGACAATCGCTAATATGCATAGTACTCAAAGAAGAACATAAATTATCACCATTAGGTTGAAGACATGACCAATCGATTTCTCAATAGGCAGCACAGAACTTAAATCGGTAACTTCCTACACAACACTAATTAACACAATGTATTTCAGTATGAACTTAGAAAAACAGGCAGGAAGTGAAATCTATTAAATTCTTCATTAATTTATATTCCAATAGGAAATGTAATATTTGAAAATGATTGAAACACCTACCGCAGATGGATTAGTTCGATCGACATTGCGTGATTTGACCAGAGCAGAATGTAGATAGAAATTATGAGGCATTACAACAGCACCAAGAATGCCGACAGCTTGTTCTAACTCAGGCCAACCACAATTAGGACATGAAGGCACAAACAGTCCACGTAAAAGTTGTCTTTGATCAGGTTTTACAACAACATACTGAAAAAGAAAACAGACAGTTAGTCAATTCATTTATTATGATGCATAAAAGAACAAGTTGTCAGAGGATTGATTGACTGGCTGATTGATTGATTCCAACACAGAACTTTGCAAACAAAAGTGCACCAGTTTAAACTGATACATTTTACTATTAAATGGCTGGAAGCAATCGGCAGGAAGCCCTGCACCTAGGATTCGTGTTAGTTGGGACTCAACAGCAAGACGTATCTGCAACCTCGAAGGGACTTGTTGCCCTTCTGGGATTCAAACTCGCGTCACCCAGTGTAGCACTGCAGTCAAAGACGCTGCCACTGAGCTATTCAGACTCGCGATTGACCTCCTGTAGAATTGTATTGGATAATTTTGATTGGACACTAGTCAGTAACTAGTGTAATGTTTGTGTGTGTCTAGTGCTATCTTCGGTGCAGACTGACACAATTTATATAACCCACAGAGGCAGACAGAAGGGAGAAGAATTCAAAGGAAGTATATTGAGTAGAAATATACGGGAGTAAGAATAGTAACATGGAAAAAAAAATTTAAGGGTTTAATGGATGTGGGAGATGACCATAAATACTGAATACATGTATTTGCTCCATTGAGAATAATTTTAAAGCCATAGTATCATCAAGTAAGATGATGAAGGTGATGTGGGTAAAGGAGAATGATGCTTAGGAGGGCTTCGTGTGCTTTTCGAAATGTGTGGGCGGTTGTTACTTCCCGGCTGCCTACACCGTGGAAGCTGAGTTTTTTGGGCTACATGAAACAGAAATAGAGTTAGTGTTACGTGGCCGTAGAGCACAGGGGATAAACTGCTTGAGGCCGGTCACACACGGCCTGTATCAACTGGTTCCTCATCATCAATAACCTCCAGGTATATTGGTTCTTAGTATATTGATGATTCCAACCAGGATGTCTACACCTCCTTCAATACATGGCTCAAAACAACTATCAAAATAATCAAAGGAATCGCAGAAATGTAAAACAACTTTCATACATTCATCATCACTTAGGTACTATGTGTTTTTGGCAACAGCTTTTATATGGACACTAACATGGTTATCTTGGAGAAAAGAATTTAATATTTTTTATCCTTTACAGCCATCCGTCTTGTACGTCGGTGATATAACGGTAGAATGCTCACCAAACACGCATGTGGTTCGGGGTTTGATCCCCGGCCAATGCACTCCTCTGCCTAAGCCAGTAATAAGACTAGTAGAGAGGGAAGGTTGAGCATGAGGCTAGCAACCCCATCCCGTAAAAAATGGATACCACTGCTAATGAGACTTTAAAGCCCAAGAAGCTTGAAGCTCTATGTTCCAATGGGAACGTAGAGGAATAAAAAAACAACTGTCCGTTCAATGAAATCCAAAAGAGGTGCATAGAAAAAATCAATATGAAAAAGGAAATAAATCAATTCGTTAATTGCAAAATTTATGCAGATTTACAGTTATATATAAAAAAGGTAGTAAAGTGTAAAAGATAACACCTTAAGATAAAGAATTAAACCCGACTAACAGTGGCTTAATGGTATACGAGCTCGCCTTGTAACCGGAAGGTCCTGGGTTCGAATCCCGGTGGGTGCGTACTGCTGAAGAGTCCCAAACTAGGACGAAACAGCTGTCCAGTACTCCCAGGTTTCCCAACGGTTCTCTAACTAATGTCAGCTCATGATGAAATCCTGAAACCAATCAAATCCCTACAAACCAACATTTGAGAAGAAATACGAATGATTTTGAGTGATTCAGTTGATGATATCTCAAGTTGGAAGAAAAATTAACTAACTGACATATGAATGGGGAATTTCGCACAGAAGTCCACCAGCAGTTCAAGTTACCCACCATCCCACCTTGGAATAGAACACAGGAAAGTAGACAATAGGCAATGTAATAAAATTACATTGGACGAAAATGAACCGGAAAAAAAAAATAACTCGATAAATATTAGCGAGAATTTTCTAAAAATTTGAAGTACAATAAGAAGTGAATGTAGACATAATGGAGACGATTTGCAACTTAGGTAGATGATTTTGATGTAGTTGTACTTTCTAAGCTGGATGGTTTAGTTCCGAAATTTCCATTGTCATACATCTTTGACCCATACTTCTAATTGGAATATGCACTAAATATGTTGCATATAGACAGACAATAAAAGCCTTTATACTGCGGAAAACAATGTTGAGTCATATCACTGAGAGTAAGTAAGCATTAATTATTAGCATTCCCAGGACCCCAATCAGGTAGTCAACCTCTCTCGATATGGCCTAAAACAAGGAATAAAGACCTCATGGGTTGGTGCAATATTTTCACTGAATCATAACAGTCTAGTTCTATTTCGGTTGAAAATGTTTGTCGAGGAGGGCGGTCGCTTGACATGTGTAACATTATAGGGAAAGTACTGGGATTTTCTCAATAAACGATCTGTTCCCTGGCCCTTGTCTTCTGTCGTTAAAAATAGTACTATTACTCTTTACACACTCAGATATTGTTCACATTAGTAAGTGAAGAATCACACGCATTATTACCATTTAAAACTAGAATACTAATGAAAGGAAACAGTCTGGATACCAGTGAAAAACCTAGTAAAATCTAGATTGGTTGACCTGAATAAGATAAGAAATCTAGAGAATAGTTCAGCTATATAGTAGTAATACATGCAATTACACACAATTATACTAATAATAACAATAATATTCTATTTTATTCCAAAAACATTACTTATAATACAGAATGGAATTCTCAGCGTTTGTTACAATATTGCATCTGATTTACTCGAAATATAAATAAAATTAAAACAAAATTAACCAGAGGAATTTTTCCACATTTACGGTATAAAGTCAAAAATATTCAAAGTACAAAATGATGAATGAGAATAATAAATATTATAATAATAATAACGGTGAGTTTATTTCAAACAGTATTGTTAATTTAATAAATCTGCTAAAGAAGCTGTGGCTTACACGGCGAAACGTTCAGAAAAATCTTGTTTTGATTTTCTTAACACGCTGGGATTAATTTCAATAATTTATAATGAGTATTGTTAATTTAGTTTCGAAATTTCAGCATGCTATGGATTATTGAATCTAATGTACTGTTGATATAGTATAGTGAGGAAAAAGACAAAATTAACATTTATAACACAGCTTAATTGATGGTTGCACAGAAAACATTGCCAAAACAATATTGCGAGGATCATAAATATAAGAACAATAACAGTAAAGATTAATGGTATAAGGATGAAGAAAATGGTTTATTTACTAGTGCAAAGAAGGTTAGTTAGTTCATGCCTGACACTACTTTCAGCACATATGATACGTGCCAAATATGGTATCGTGGAATTTTTATACTCATATGTGGGAGCATAAAGTCTTTTAAAATACTTCTTGCTTTACCTGAAGAGACACAAGGTTGGAGCTGTCGGTGCTGAGGTGGAAGCTCAGAGTCTGACAAAATTCCTTTAGCAAATTTGTTGAATGAAATCAAGTGCCTATTAATGATTATTTAAACGATATAGCCTAACGGGGTACCACTCGCCCTACTGAAAGTCTTCAGAGTCTTACAAAGTATGACATAGTCTTTTTTTCAGCAATCCAAGAAAGAATAATGGTGAACAATAAAGAAGAATAGGTAAGATGCAAGAGTTGATAAACTGTAAAAGAAGGAGTTCAGTTATGCCTGAGTGCATTAACTTCTTGATGTAAAATGTCAGATAGAATATTTTACCATAGTAATAACGAAGAACAATATAGTTTCATTGGGTATTATAATTCACAAGAAGTGGATTCATGTGCACCAGCCATTGAGAACGATTTTGAGCCATATCACCAAGTGTCTCCAGTCTTCATTGGTGTTTACCATCCCGGGGACCCCAACCAGTCACGCAGTCTACACCTTCCTACGTGGCTTAAACTAAATGTTGTAGATTCCATTGACTGTTTTCACACTACGCTGGGAGTATTTGGGCGAATTCGTACTACTGGACAACAGGGATGTGACAGCAGATGATCAGTATGACAGCCAGCTATGCTGTCTTTCCACTCTGGAGAGAGGGGGTTAGAAAAAGTCGACCCCAGAAATTGCGCATCTCGAACCACCCTACTGTGTTCCGTAACCGGTGGTAAGTTTACTAATACGGAACCAAACCAAGAAACCAGTTCATACAGGCCGTGTGTAACCAGCCTCAAGCAGTTTTCCCCTGGGCTCTGCGGTCACGCAACACTAACCCTCTCTCTGTTTCAGGTATCCGAAGAATCAATCAACTTCCACGGTGTGGACAGCCGCGAAGTAACAACCACCCAGACACTTCCAAGAGCACACGAAGCTTAAGTTACTCACTCATCTTTCTCCTAACAATAGCATGCATCATCAATGATGACCACCATTATAATACTGTTTGAGAAGCATGTTATATATATATATATATATATATATATATATATATATATATGTCATAATAAATTACCTCATATCCAAATGTTACAGCCATAACAGTTATCAAGAAACCAAAGAACATTTCCAATTTACGCAGACCATATTTATCAAGAAACAAGAAAGTGAATGTATCCAAAATAGTGATTAACACACCAGCCCATAATGGCACGTAACCAGCGCTTAATAAATTAATAGCAATTGCTGTACCAATAACTTCCTAAAATTAAAAAAAAGAGAAATAACGATGAAATTAAAGTGTTCAATTGAAGAAAAATAAAAATTAACTGATAGAGAGTCTGTTTAAAACCGATAAAACTGTGACTTGATAGTTTAAAAACCCAGCTAACACCAAGCTTTATTTACAATTGCATTCCATATGATGACCTTCAGAAGACATTAGCCTAAGCTCTCTCTATCTTGTATATGATAGAAATAACAAACTGTTCCTGTCAAGTCAACTATAGGCAGTATCCTGTATTCATTAACTGACTGTCTCACAGAGTATGGATAAAAATACCCTAAGAAAATTCAGGCAATCCCATTCTACTGTTCAGTATTATTATTATTATCATTTCCCGCAATACCAATACATACTGAAGTTCGAATTCTTTTTACTTTGAATTGTTATTGTAAAGGAATAAACTGTCTGTCAGTCTATCTTCAGCATAGAACTTTGCACCAATGTGCAGCAGTTCCAGTAGCCACACTTCACTTAGTACACAAAGCAAGAGGAGAAAGTAAAAAGAGATTCAAAACATAGATTTGAGGCAAAAAGAATGGTAATATGGAAGAACAATATAGTTTCATTGGATATTGTAAGTTACAAGGAGTGGATGCATCTACACAAGCCATTTAGAACCATTTTGAGCCATATCACTAATTGTCTCCAACCTTCATTGGTGTTCACCACCCGAAAACCCCAACCAGTCAGGAAGTCTACACTTTCCTACGTGGCTGGCTGACTTAAACTAACTGCTGTGGATTTCATTGACTGATGAAGTCAAATTTTGGTTTGACCACCACGGGCTCTTTTCCAACCTAACCGTATGTCAGCTAACATTGCCCCGTCGAGGAAGGCGATGGTTAGACATGCATGCGTAACACATGTCCTAACCATCTCAATCGATAGTGATCTGACTGGCATTCTATACTCTGTTCGACGCTAATGATGAAGACTGTAAATTAAGAATCATTCGTGAATTTTTCTGAATACAATAGTACACATAGTGGATAGGCACAACACATCAATTTTGCCTCTTTATGCAAAATAGGTATATAGCCAATGAGACACAACTAACTAAACACACCTAAGATACACACCAGAGAGTATGTCTCAGCTGGTAGAATGTTGAAACTAATAATTCTCATCCTGCCGGCTTCAATCCTACCGTGATTCAGATTCTAATTTCATTTTATTTAACCAGCATGCACTCCATTATCTTACTATAATGTATACAATAGGTGAACAAATAATGAGAAAAAAACACTACAAGTTGAGCATAACTTACTTGCATATCTGATCCAATAATTGCAATTTCCACCATTAACCAGAGTATAATACGTGCAGGTGTAGGATATTCATCATAACATACTTCAGCTAAATGTCTACCCGAAACAACACCCAGACGAGCAGCTAATCGCTGCAAAAATAATCCCATCAATGTGGCCAGGAATAGTAGCCATAAAAGCTTTAAAGAATATTTGTTATTGGGTAAAAAAAAAACAAAGTAGAAAAGAAAGAGCAGTTAACGAGAGCTGTGATTTAAGCGAACTTATTGTCAAATTATTGAAAACAAATGGGGTAACAAGTGTTCAGGGATTTCTTCTTATTCCTTTGCATTCCGAGTAGAATATTAAGGCTTCAATCAACCATGAGCTTTGAAGTTCCAATAGCGGTAGTATTTTTTTCTTCCTATTAAAGAAGTGAGATTGTTAGCCTCACATCCAGTTTTCCCTCCAAATCAGGCTTACTACTAGTTAAGCGAGGTCTGTCTGTCTGTTTTTGACATGGAACTTTGCACATATGTGCACCAGTTCAAGTCACCACACTTCCTCCTTGTAGCACACAAAGCAAGAGGGAAAAGTAGAAGAACTGAATAACAGAGACAGTAAACAGAGGTGTGAGACAAAGGAATAGTAGTAACGAAGAACAATATAGTTTCATTGGAAATCATAAGCCACAAGGAGTGGTTGCATCTGCACCAGCCACTGAGAACGGTTTTGAGCCATATCACCGATTTTCTCCAGCCTTTATTGGTGTTTACCATCCCGAGGACCCCAACCAGGAAGCCAGTCTACACTGTCCTACGTTACTGGCTCAAACTAACTGTTGTGGATTTCATTGACTGGTGAAGTCATGTTTTGGTTTGACCGCCGCTAGCTCTTTTCCAGTCTGACCCTATGTCAGCTAACACTGCCCGTCGAGGAAGGCGATGACTAGGCATACGTAACACATGTCCTAACCATCTAACCCAATCGATATAACTTCACAGCCTCGTCGGTTGATTTCCCCTCCCTCCTTATCTAGCACTCAACCGAAGCCTAACCTCAATATTGCTCACCTTATTATACTACTTCGCATGGGAGATAGAGCACAGGCAGCTAATCTTTTCATGTCTTCCAATCTCAACGACCGCGTCTCGCAGCCATAAAGGAGGACGGAGTGAGGTTCAAGATTGTGTTGACTGGGAATCCAAATCGAACCACATGTGTCGTTGGCAAGCCTTTTACGACTGAACCACCCACGCGCCATGTTCATGGATGCTGAAGACTAACTTTCAGTATGAGCTAAGTCCTTCTAATCGATGGAGATGTAGCTCATTGACTTCAGCACTACTCGGTGACAGGTTCGATTCCCACTCCGCTTACTTCAGCCTTAGCGACTGGGGAGTATCATCAGTCGTCACTTGATATGTAAGGTCCTTAACCTGATGTACAAGAAAGATCTCTTCCAGGTAATTGAAATCAAAAACAAATACAGTTGATTATTATTCTCGAAGATAAAGATCAATCCTGCTAACCAGATTCACCTGAAATAATCCACTTAGAAGGCAAAGAATACTCCTTTACGCTTAGCCAGTCTATTACGTAATCTTAGATTTATTTATCCCCCCCCCTCCAAAATACCCTGATCACATATTCTAGTAGTATGAATTAATCATGTTTACACACACACACAAATGTACATAATTCTGCAAATACTCATTCCTGGATAATCAATATTGTAAACAAAAGAGTATTAGGATCTGATCAGTTTCAAATACTACTAAGAAATCTATTAGATAAAACAAATTCTGAGCATAGTCCACCACAAAAAAACAGCACAATAAGGACGATTATTCAAAAGGATTTAATGATAATCATAAGAAACTAAATATACAAAGGAAATGAAGCTAAAGTATGTGTATACATTATCATCTCTACTGAAATATACTTTGTTTTTACAAGTAATTCCAACAATAAACGGTACTTGGCAGCCATTCGTGTTTATGTGTGTACTTGAAAATGGGCCACACCTATTGTCAGAAGACTGATGACACCATCCGACTATCCAAAACATGAGTAGATGATATTGACCATATCATGAAAGCCAAGGAGGAATACACCAACTTCAACCCCCTCTGGCGCTGTCGTAATGTTAGCCTGGCTATCAAAGGTCGGGTTTATAATGTTTTGGTGAGCGCTGTCTCGCTCTGCGCTAGCCATATCTGGCCTCTCCGAGATGGGGATATGCCACGGCTGTCCATATTTCATCATCACCCTCTCTACAGAATTGCTTGCGTTCAATGATATCATCGTGTGAGTAACTCGAAGGTCCGACAGTGTGTGTGTTTGATACTGATGCGTCGACGTGGAACATGGTAGAGGTGAAGCAAAATCAATAAAGCCATTGGTATACGCTTCGAAAAGTCATCAATATCGACTGAAGAAATAAACACGCCTATCCTACATCTGACTGCGAAACCAAACAAGTTTTTGCATAAAACTTGACACTTATATTTTTACTGACCACGTAAAAATTATTTACGTGTAAGAAACACGCTTAAGGTCATATCTACTCTGTGGGTTGACTTATAATATAACTATCAGTTGTGATAATGACTTAATCATAAGGATTATCCGATAAAAATAAGTTCAATCAAAAGACTAAGTCAACTGCATTAAGCCATAAAGGTTACACGTTCTACGTAATTAAAAATTGTGCTTATCTCACTGATTGGTTGAAAAGTCAATGTAAAATTTTGCACAGGAGTACATCAGCCTATGTTGAAGCATCTTGCAAAAGTACATCTGACTGTCTGTTTCCTACATAGAACTTTGCACGTATGTGCACCAGTTCAAGTCACCACGCTTCCTCCTTGTAGCACACAAAGTAAGAGGGAAAAGTAGAAGAACTGAATAACAGAGACAGTAAACAGAGGTGTGAGACAAAGGAATAGTAGTAACGAAGAACAATATAGTTTCATTGGAAATCATAAGCCACAAGGAGTGGTTGCGTCTGCACCAGCCACTGAGAACGGTTTTGAGCCATATCACCAATTGTTTCCAGCCTTCATTGGTGTTTACCGTCCCGAGGACCCCAACAAGTCAGGAAGTCACCTTATTATACCACTTCACACGAGAAACAGAGCGCAGGCACCTATGATCAAAGACAGCTAATCTTTTCATGTCTTCCACTCTCCATGGCCAGGTCTCACTGTCATAAAGGAGGATGGAGCGGACTGATAAGCAAAAAACCCACCCTTTGGTTGATAGCCGGATATCACGTCTATGCCACAGACGGCGTAAACTGGCATATGCGAAACTAGCCCTGTGTATCCGTACTGAGATTTCGTTAGAGATCAACCCGTTGGGGATGGTTGATGGTACTTCCCAAATAAGTGAAGCGGTCAACATGCTCTACCACTTCACTCCCTATTTCTAAACCAGGATTCAGTGTAGTCCAGTCCTGTGGCTTCATCATCTTACATTTGGCGGGAGCGAATCGCATGCCAAACATTCGTAGATTCCAGCTCAAGGTGTTCAGAAGCATAAGGCAACAGAAAAATTGAAGTCTAATTTAAAAGTGTGAAACACAGAAACAAATTAAATGAATTTTTTAAAATTCCTTTACGCTCTCAGGCTTCGAGCTACAAGCTTGAAGTTTCGGTAGCAATGGTGATTACTTATACGGGATGTGGTTGCTAGCCATATGCCCAACCTTCCCTCTTTACCAGCCTTATTACTGGCTTAACGAGGTAAAGGATTAGTGAGTATATTCAAGATTTCGAAGACAATAAAAAGGAACTAATACAGCTCTGAACTATTATGATCGATTACTTCCAACCATCTAGCATCAATTCACAGTGCACCATGATGGTGACCACATTGCAGACTTGATTGATGGAATTTAGTCGGCACCAACACCAAGGAATAATAGACGCATGACATTCATTACTACCTAATGACCAATCAAAGTATCCATTACAGTCCTATAGGAAAAAATCAGTCGTGAGCCTAAATAGTTCAGTGGTAACATCTCTGATTGCAGCACTGGGTGATGTCGGGATTCGTATCTCAGAGGGGACACAAGTCGCCTGAATCCTGCAGATATGCCTTACTGAATAGTGCCGAAAAGTAGGAAACTTAGATCCAAAGATTACTGCCAACTAACTCCAGCCATTTAGTGTGTGTTTTTTCCATTTCACTTAATACTGCCCATCAACGAAGGTGGTGGTAATACTTCAATGGTGTAAGGTATTACAGACTGAGCCGTCGTGCCAATCAATAGATAGCTGGATATAATGCCTGCGGCAGAGATGATACGTGCTGGCAAATTTCAGACTATTTTGTATCCATGGTGACAATTTATCAGTGACTAGTCAATTTGTGGCTAATGTGTTCAACACAACAAACTACTCCACTCTTTATCTTTGTACTAGGAATCAGTAGTATCATCTTACATATGACAAGGCTTAATCACAGATACTTAGTTTTGCTTAGGTTATTCATATGACTCTGAATTTTTAACATAGTTATCTGGTTGATATTGACTAGCAGTAGAATCAAGAATACGCACCAAAATATTATCCACTAGGTCTAGTGGATAATGTTCAAATTCCACTGACATGCAGGTACATTCGGTTGACGGATTCCAAACAGGACAAAACGCTTGTCCTGGATTTCACAGCATGCATTATTGACCGACGTGTCTAATTACTACAACTTATATTCAATCATGTTTATATTTAGAAGGCACTGGATATCCTAGTAATTTGGCTTCTTGTACACGAATAAACTTGATATAGAACATATACAAATTAAATGACCTGTGTAGCCAGACAAAGCATCCATCATACAACACAATAAACTGCACAATATTTTAAACACTTCTACTTTATGTAAAGGTGTAGAACTTTTAATCTTTAACCAAGAAATAGACACATTATCTAACGAACAATCAAAGTATACGTTATAGTCCTATAGACGGTCAGACATGAATCCGAATAGGTCTGTGGTAAGATCTCTGACTGGAGCACTGAGCGGTGCCAACAGGAGTCTCAGAGCAGATGAGTCCCCCTAAGATCACAGGTATGCCTTACTGATAAGTGCCAACTACCATGAAGCCTAGATTCATAGCTTCCTGACGACGATTACCTCCAGTCATCAAACATCAATGCAGTTAAAGTTTTCACGTCAAATATAGAAAAACATAAGCACTAATGACTGAATAGGTAAAGCTATGAATCATTCATTTAAGAGGTTGACTACCAACCATTGTACCATCGGTCTGAATCTCACTCCATCTACCGAATTTTCGGTAACCAGATGGTATCAGTATGCTACAACACATTAGGTATGGCTTGTTCATGATTGCCAAACGCATGTGAATGCAACTGACTGTTGGTTAACATTCACCTACATTGGTGTAGTGTGTTTAATCTCATAAGAGGAAAGCATACTTTGCTTAAATTTAAACAAGGATAATTTAAGTAGTTGTGGATCATTGGTTTAGCAGCAGAATACTCGCCATCCATGAAGATGGTTCGGAGTTCGATCCCCGGCTGACTAACTCCTAAACTTCGATAAGTCAATAGCAAGCCCAGCAAAGAGAGAAAGTTGAACGAGACCAGCAGTGCTACCCCTTTAAAGATTAAACACCACTGCTAGTGCAAATTTTAAGCTAAATCTTGAGGCATCATGTTCCACTCGGGGGGCAAAGGAAAAAAAATTATAATAATAACAATAGTAACAATAATAAAAATTAAGCAGCTACATTATACATCTTAGAAAAGTTAAAGGACACTTTTAATCCCGACTATTTATTTTCTAACTCCATAATGGTTTGTTTATTAGATGTATCACATGGTGAAACAGTATTACTGTTTAATGGATGACGGGGTTTCGAACAAAATTTATTGTTCATAATCATATCAATTGTAATCACACGACTTTGAAACTTGAGTTTTATAGTTTTCTTTGTTTTCTCCTATTTGTCGTCGTAGGGGTAGTAGAATTTTCCAGATATCAGGGACAGGTGATGAATCATTCCCATTACATGTATTTGCAGTTGACTTGATAAACAAAGCTTCTGTTCTCAATCTCTCCCTCATTCCACCCTGTGACATTAGATTTTAAAACTGTGATCCTATCCCATCCTATTGTATGGTTGTGTGTAACTGCATGAAGTGAGTGTTATAGCTGAACTATTCTCTAGATTTCTTATCTCATTCGGCCCATCTAATTTAGACTGGGCTAGGTTTTTATGCACCGCTCGACTGACTGCCCCTGTTCTACTACTTTGACCTATGTATTTGACCTGACAATCATTGCTGGCAGGGTATTAGATGAACTAAATTGTTTTGTTCTAAAGGCTCCACAGGATTGATCCTTTAACCGACAAAGCTTGTTTCTAATTGAGTGAGTTTGTTTCACTGTGTGATACATCTAATAAACAAACCAATATGGAATTACTTACTACCACAGTGCCTAAGTTTTACACATATATTAATATGTTTACACTTTCTAGTTTAAAACAACCCTCTTTCTGACAATAGTTAACTTTTATAAATACAATAAGAAAAAGAAAAGAATAAATATAATAAAACTCACCCTATAATTGGCAATGGCTCCACTTTGTAAATCTGATTCTATATTCCCAGGATCCAAATAAGCAATACTCATTAGGAAACCAGGACCTGTGAAAGCCCATAATCGTCGAAAACTGAATCCAGATTTTTCCTTTAAACAAAAAGGGTAAAATGAAAGTGACATATAATTTTTAAAAAATCGTCAACCACAAACATACGTGTGTACATGAAAATAAAGATTAAATAGTATAAAAGACGGAAATGCGAGTAATGCAAGAAATAAAACAAATGAACACTTCATTTACCATTATCATTATTATTATAGATATTGAGTCAGCAGTATGAGGAAATCAATCAATCCGTTGATAATTAACAATGGATCACTTCAATATATCAGCAGTAATTTATTTTTATTTATTTTTTTTTAAATAGCAATGAATTTCCCCAGCTTTCTCTCAACTCAATTCAATTGAAGAAAACCAAAAATAAAGTGAAGATCAATTCAAGGTACAAGATTGACGCTGACACATGAAAAATTACAGTAACTACTATTCACGTCACTATATATATATATATATATATACATTCGTACAAGTTTACAATAAACACACTTCGTAGTACATAATATGTGTGATTGGCTATCGATAACCAAAAAGAACAACGAACTCAAATTGAACCAATCACAAGCATAGTTTGGAGAATTGTTCGACCAATATTCTAAATTCTACCCACGGCTGTTCGACGATTAGTGAGAAAATATCAATGAATATAATTTAGTGTTGAGGTCAAATCTTAAAGAAAGAAAACAAACACTATTTACACGATGACGTCATCATCAGCTGATATGACTCAGGCAGAAAGAATAAACAGCTTAAAGATTGTATATGGTATATTTTTTTCGGAGGATTTAGTTGCATAACTAGCACAAACAATTTACTGCAACAATTTTTTTTTGTTTTATTAACAATAACAGAATTATAAAGTAATAAGTACAGCTATTAGTTTGGTGGTATGCCTCGTCAGCAAAACTTGACAATTAACATACAAAAAATCATTTTTATGTCCGAATTCCCTTCCATCTATCTCAGTCTGAGTAGATAAATAGTATTGAAAGTGCCCTAGCACTAAGTGTGTCTCACAGTTTATTATATGAGAAGGATTGCACTAGTTAACCACTAAACGGTCGTCCATCATCAGTACATACTATATATATATATATGGTTTGGTATATATAATTTTTGATACTATATGATTTTCTATAGTTTGGCTTTTAAGGGTTAGTTATGTTTTTACGAGTTGATCACGGATCGATATCACTTAGAGAAACATTTAAAACCAGGGAGTACTGGACAGCTGTTTCACCCCAGTTTTAATAATTATTATTATTTGCTTTAATCCAGAAATAGTACTCGTGGTACAGTGTGGAATTTTCAGCACATATCTACAATATTGCATCTAATTTTATCACACGTTTAAAAGGAGTATTACAAAAAATAAATATAAAAAACAAAAAAACAACACAATAATAACAAAAAAATGCAAAAAATACCATGAAGTAGAAAGGAAAGTAAACTACAATAATAAATAATATCTCAGTATTGGGTAGTGGAAGCTATGATATGTGTATGCTAGGTGAACAGTAACAGCTATAATCATACAAGAAGTTATGAGACGTTCTTAAGATGATCAGTTAATTTGATTGAACTACACTTATTATTATTATTGCTCCCTTGGGTTCCTAGTGGAACATACGGCTTCAACTGCACCTCTCCCTCCATTTGCTTCTGTCTTCTGCTGTACTTTTCGCCTGCATCCATCTTAGTCCATATTCTTTCAACTCCTCTTCACACGATCTCCTCCATGTCACCCTTGCACTGACGTCTCACACGCCGCTTCCCTTTCGGCCTGGTTCCACTCGAGGGCTTGATGCGCGATGTCACCCAACGGTCTCCTCAGCGAGTGTCCAATCCATCTCCACTTTCTCCTGCATATTTGTTGGGCGATTGGTTCTTGCTTTGTTTGTCCCCATAATTCCTTGTTGGTGATTCTTTCCGGCCCGGCCATCTGATCTTCAGTATAGAGCGAAGACAGTTAGTTGTTGATAAAGGTCTGCAAACTTTTGGAAATATTCTTTGTGATCCGCCAAGTTTCTGATTCGTATAGAAGGACTGACTTGACGTTTGTATTGAAAATCCGACCGAATTTTGTTGTTGATGCTGGCTGAGTGACGAAGATTTCCAGATTGATTCCAGGTTGATGAATGTGTTTCTCGCCTTCCCGATTCTCGCTCGATTTGACATCCTCGTCCGTTCCGATTGCCTGTAGTTGAGACAATGCTCAATGCTAGATAAGTGAATGAATGAAGTAACCTCTTTCAATCCCTCCCGTTGATGGTGATTGACGTTGGATGTTGTTGCTGTTGTTGGTTGGTTATTTTCATAACCTCCGTCTTGTCCATGTTTACCTGGAGTCCTGTCCTTGCTGCCTGCTTCTTCGGCCAGTTTATCGGTTTTCGCTTGTAAGTCTTCGATTGTGTGTAACATCAAACATAAATCATCCACACGCAAAATCCAGGTCTTCTAGGTTCTTCACGTCGGTCGGTCCAGGATATTCCTATCTATAAAGTTGAGGTAGAGGTTTGATCGCCATTCCATGCTTTGTTCGATGACGATGATGATGCGTAGAGTTGCAATTTGGTCAGTACATGATTTGCCTTTCCTGAATCCAGCTTGTTCTGGTCGGAGTTCTGTCTCCAGTGCGTCCTCTAATCTCTCCAGGATGATGCGACTCAGGATTTTACTTGGCGTCGACAGGAGCATGATTCCTCGCCAGTTCTTGCAGAGTGAGGCCTAAGTCGCCCTTCTTTGGTAGTTTCACGAGGTAACCTTTCCTCCAGTCAGTAGGCATCTTTCCCTCCTTCCAGACCTTTTGCAATAATGGAGTCAGTCAGCATGTCTGCTGTAGTCTCTGTGTCCGCTTTCAGTGCTTCAGGGGGTACTCCATCTGGTCCGGCTGTTTTCCCAGCTTTCAGAAGTTTGATTGCATTCAAGACTTCAGCTCTCGTTGGAGGATTGGTGTCAACTTGCAGTTGTGTGCGCGCTGTTGTTGGTATTTCTGGACGGGTTGCAGGTGGTGGTCGGTTCAAGAGTCTTTTGAAGTGATCCTCCCATTCTTTAGTCTGTCTTTCTTCCTTGGTGATTGGGTTCCTTTGGCTGTCTTTTATAGGTTTCGCTTGTGTTGATCTCTTCCCGGACAGAGATTTGGTTATCTGATATAGTGTCCCCAGGTCCCTTTCGCCTCCGCGCCTTCTCAGCTTCAGTGGCCAGGTTGTCGTAGAATTGTCTTTTGTCCTCCCTATCACTCTTCTTTGTCCAGTGCTGTGTTAGTTGAGCTCAGCGTCTCCGTCTTCTGTCCGTCCTTGCATTGAATCATTTTCTCTTTCACCATTCTCCTCTCCTCTATTAATTTCCAAGTGTCCGTTGAGAGCCATTCCTTGTCTTGTCTCTTCTTTCTTCCTAGAACTGTTGAACACGTTTCGTTGAGAATCGCCTTCAGAGACTTCCAATGTTCTTCCACGCATGATTCTTCAGTGATGTCGCGTAGTGTTTCCTGCTTTGCTCTGACAGTTGCACTGAAAGTGTCTTTTGTGGTTGTGTCCTTCAGTAATTGAGAGCTGAGCTTGCATTGTGGCCTATACCCAGCTATCCTCGAGGTTTTTAGTTTCACCTTGAAAGTCCCTTCTACTAGATAGTGGTCTGAACCCACATCTGCTCCTCTCCTCGACCTTGTGTCCAGTAGGCTCCATCTCCACTTTCTTGAAATTGAGATGAAGTCTATTTGGTTCTTGGTGTTTCCATTTGGTGAAATCCATGTCGTCTTGTGTATATCCTTGTGTTTGAACACACTACCACCAATCACCAAATAATTGAAGGCGCAGAAGTCTGAGAAGAGTTCACCATTGTCGTTCATTTCACCGAGGGCCTTACGACCCATGGTGAGTTCTCTTCTTGTGTTGTCTCCTCCCAGCTTCGCATTCAGGATTTTGATATCGCCATTTGGGACGTTGTTCATTATTGCCTGTAGTTGTCTGTAGAACGCCTCCTTCTTCTCTTGTTCTGAGACGTTTGTAGGCGCATAGGATTGAATGACTGTAACTTTCCTTCCTTTTGAGTTGAACCTGGCTGTCATTATCCTGGAGGAGATTGGTTCTCACTGCATGAGAGCTTTGGCTGCTGTTGGTGACATCATGATGGCCACTCCCTCGGTGTGCTCATGGTTGTCCTCTAGGTGGGCGGAAAAGATTACTGTCTCTCCAGTAGGTAGTTGGAACCTTCCAGTTCCGTTCCATCTGCTTTCGCAGATTCCCAACACTTCTATTCTGTACCTTCACATTTCAGCGGCTATCTGGGCAGCCTTTCCAGTTTCGTACATTGTACGAACATTCCAGGTACCTATCCTTACTTTTGCTTTCATCGAAAGAAGGCACATCGGCTGACTGGCTTCTCGAAGGCTTTCACCAGCCTGCGTCATTTCACTTCCCCGATTCCAGCAAAAAGTAAGGCTATTGCCTATGTTTTTAGAATTTTTAATATATTTATTCGTTGAAGTTTCTGTAGCGATTTGGTTGTTTTACAGGGGTGGAGTTGCTAACACCACGCCCCAACCCTCCCTCTTTACCCGGGCTTGGGACCGGCTAGAAAACTAGTAAGCTAGTAGCCTAGCAAGCTAGTATCTGACGAGGTTGATTGAACTACACTAAACAATCATAAAATAAACATTCTAGGGTTTTTATTGTCAGCTCTAATGCAGTGTTTGTAGTGGCAGTGTGAGTAATCATACATAATACAAAAATTTTAAGATGGTGATAACGGCGTTCACAACCAAGATTGTCAGTTAATATTGCCGAAAAAAAAACAATCACAATACTAAAATTACATGACAGGACAATTTTGTAATACTCATAGTGATAATATAATAATAGTTTTGGGAATCATCGGCAGCACTCACTCACTGGGATTCTAACCCAGGACCTTCCGGTTACAAGGCAAGCTCGTATACCATTCAGCGACTGGGACCCGATTCAGTGGCCATCTCATGAATTCTAACTTCTCCCAATTCGTGATTTTAGCGCGACCCCAACCAGTGTCGTCG